CCCTAGAATAGCCATCATTCTAAGGGTCCACATAAATAGGAATGCATTAGTCAAGACCCTATGCTAAGCTATATTGCTGCAGAGCCAAAAAATATGAGTGAAGACAAAATTTAATTCATTAAAGGTGTTAAGGTAATAGCACCTTTGCTGCTGAGTGAAGCTGACTTCTTCCTTCTCTCACATGTATCCAAACAAGCACTTTCTAATACAGAGAGGAGTTTTAGGAGTTGACCCTAAGAAGATATAACTGCCTTCTTTTTAGGCTGAGTTCACAGACAGTAGAGAGACTTAGGAAATTTACTTCTTAAAAAAATACACTTATATGCAGTGGCCCTCTCGGCCTCCACAAGACTTGTGTGGCTTTTCTTAGGAGATTCTTTCACTCTCTGTGAACTTCCCTAGAACGTCAAAAGTTGTCCTGTCAAAAATGCATCATTTTACTGCAGATGCTTGCTGCTTCTCTTTCCTCTTGTCATGTACTCTTTCTTATATGTAGTGTAATGTAGGGAACCCAACACCAAACCTAAAAATCTTTAAGTTAAATGTATGTGGAATATAACCAAGAAACTATAGGATTAGCATATGATTATTATTAAATCATGAATCTCATGCTGGAAACAATCTCATGCAAATCCCAAGGCAAACTGGAGGGTGGCTGTCACGGATATTGGTGTGGAGGCACCAGTGGATGAAAGGAATTGAAAGTATATGATCATGTTTACCTTAGTATTCCTTCTTCAGAAAACAGAGGGAGGAATTTTATTTACAATATTTGTTGCAAACTACTTCTGAATGAAAATTTGTCTGGGATATTCCAAAATGGGATCAGATCAGATCTATACAGTGAATGATTGAATCCTCCATGTCTCTTGAAAGAATAATTTTACACTCCCTTTGTCTTGATTGTCTCTACTTCTAAAGTCATAGTCCCCATGTGCAACTACAGATGGAGCTGCAGTTCTGTCTCCTACATGCATGTCTCTGTAGAAAGTGTGAGGAGCGATGGACAAGCTAGTAGATGGCATCTCCATAGATGTTTTCTGTAGCCTTCCTGTAAAGTTCCACTGTCCTGAGGACTAATATGATTCTATATAATTGTTGCCAAATTAATCATAAGATCAAATAAAAATCCCAAATTTCATTCTTAAATGTACTTATTCCTAAAAAGAGGGGAGGAAGGAAAGGGAGATTCACACTCATACAAAACCAAACCAAAAAACAACAACAAAAGAATGTTCAAAGTGTTTTCTGAAGCAAACATGAGAAGGAAAATATTTATTTTCACTTCCTAGAAGGTTAAACTAAGTAGCTGTATGTATAGGTACTTTGAAGTCACATTTGGTAATAGCAGAGCTGTAAATATGGTGCAGAACTGCTGCATTAAAAATTTCTGTTCTAAATTGCAAATCACTGATGCCTCTATGTTAATGACTTTGAAGATCTCTAGAAGGATTATACAGAGTGGAACTGGAATGAAGGTGATCTGAAAACTGGACCAAACATATATTGAGATTCTACTTTATTTTTGCATTGTTCTCTTGTATTGCACTTTAAAGTTATCTCAGATTGACAGTAAAATGCACATAAAAATATTGAAAAAAACCCAAACATTTGAGTGCTTTACACAGAACTAATGATGTTACAGTGTCAAGGATAAACTAAACGTTGAGCTGTAAAACCTTCCTGGTGTTAAGTAGGTAGAGAATGGTCTTTTACTAACTTGAGAATGGGCCAGCATTGTGTTTTAAAGGCTTAGTAGAAAAGTTTTAATAAAAGATACAAAGAAGTTTACTCTCCCAGAGCCTCAACCTTGGAGTAACAAAGGTTATTTCTAATAACCTTACTAATCCATGCAGTAGCAGTTTTTTACCAAGACATTGTTCCAAAAAGTGGTTTCTGTTCAGCATTTCACTGCAGGGCACCAGCCACTGTAGTGTAATACATTAAGAGATTTATGGACCTCAGAGTGGGACTCCTTAAAAAACAGTGTCTTAATCAGAGAGCCACTGAGTGAGCAAATGGGAAATGCTGAAGCTACAGAAATTCTTCTTTCTCTGGGATGTGAAAAGCTGACTCAGCACATCTTTGAGGATTTATACTTCTGGTCTCTTCCCTGAAGGTCTTTTTTCTTTTAAAACAGTGCTAGAAAGTTATTCAGGGTAGAAGGGTATCAGAATACAAGGTGGAAGGGAGGATGGCATAAGCTCTGGGTGTGAATGCTACACTCTGGTGTGCTGATGGGCTCAACTTCACCCCCATGAGTGAGCTCTGTGTTGCTCTCAGCAGCTGAGACATGGGATCCCTTCCCTTCTCTGCCTGAAGACATCTACTTGCACATCTCTAACCTTCAGAAGTGGCTCGGCATGACAAACTGCTGGGTATACTGATATCACCTGCTTTTCTCTCATCCAGCACATCCTTAAGGACACCACAAAATGTGTAATAGCTTTCACAGGAAGAATGGGAGAGTCTCAGCCACCACAGAAAAATTAGTGCTCTTCTAGAATATGGGATATGGAGAAAAGTTAATCACTTGAAGAAGACAAAGGCATTGAATCTTTGTATCCCTTAACTTGAGTTCTTGGGTAATGTGATGCTTAGCATTTCAGTCTAAACTCTAGGATTCTGGCCATGCAGGGGGACCCACACAATGCCTCTGTAGCCCATAGGAGACTTATGCACCCTGAGGTAGGTCTTAGAAAAAGTAAAGAGGGTGAAAAAGGTAGACCAGAATAAAACACAAGCCAGACAGGCCACTTCTCCTTTGGAGGGCAGAGGGATATTTCTTCCAGCCAAGCTTGAAAAAGCAGCAAGAGCCCCAGCTGCCAGATTTGGGAGGTGGGCAGAGATACAGTTTATTGAAAACCTTAGCCGTAAGGGCTAAGGAATATGAGGTGCTGCAGATCTTGAAAGAGCCTGGGTATGAATCACATTTTACCTTGATCAGCTCACAGTGTCAGCCTTTGCTATTCCTGAGTGTGCTGGGAAGCAGGACTTTAAATGTTCAGGGAACTTCACCAAAGATATCTGAGGCTTGTTTGGCTGCCTCAGGAGTTAAGTAGCAGCAGAATGAGGATAAGCCATATTTTAAAATAATGTAGCTAATCTGATTTAAACACCCTAGTTCTGTTTTTTTGATCCAGTCCAAAGCTCAAACTCCATTTCTGTCTTAAAAGAGAGAGGCAGAGCATTGTAATTGCAAAAGTATGAGATAACCAGACAGTGTAAGCGAAATAATGTGTAAGAAGTAGGCAGCTCTTCATCCAGCTGAAAAGATTCAAAACTGATCATGAATACTTCCCTGCTGAAATAGTAAAGGTTTTGCAGCTGTGCTAAGTTATGCCTGAGATAGCAATTTTCTGCATGTGTTGTGGAAGTGATTACTATCTCAGTGATATTTCCAGCTGAGAGGAAAAAGAATGTGGAGACAATTATGATGATGACAGTAGGGTAACCTCCAAACTCAGTATGACATGGAGTTAGGACAACTACAAAGTAGGTAAGATACATAAAGTATCTGAACATCTTGAACAGTTTCCTCAGCCATTTACATGTAATAATCTACTTTTCAACAAATGGCACAAGTGCTTTGAATTTTATTGATGTTGTTTTAACTTGTAGCATAAATGTATTGTGTGTGTGCACATTACTTTAATATCCAGATCAACTACATTAGTGACACAGGTGTGAAAAATATTTGAGAATTGTTTGAGTCTGTGTTCTGTAGAACAGAGCAGTTACAAAACCTGTAGAATCTTGCTCTGTAACTTAAAAAGCTTTTGAGATGAGGAAGAAAGTTTCTTTCAGTAAATCTTCCTTGCAATTCTAATGGACGATACATTTTGACCTACTGATCTACATTTGTTCTGTGCCTGCTACAAGGATTCCCAATGAAGCTACACCTGACCTTCAATGCTCTGTAGTTCAGGGGGCTTCTTGTTTTTTCTCAGTCTGCATTTTCCTGAGGTTAGATAATGGAAAACAAGACATAGAAATGAAGTTACCACCCCTTTTAGATCTATAAACCGATCCATTTTAATTAATTTGATATGTTTTACTGCTTTACAAAGTAAACACAGAGGAATTCTGTAGGTCATTTCCTATACGTACACAGGAGCAAACACACACTGACATTAAGTTCATAGTGACATTTATTTGAAGTCTTACCCTTCGGCAGGATAATAAACTGAAAGTAACAACACTTGAATTCAGATAGGAATAAATTCATGGTTATAATCTTGTGTGTGTGTGTGTGTACGGGTATGGCTATGTAAAACTTGAGTATGAGAAGACTGTAAGACAATATCAAATGCGTTTGAAAATGAGTTTGTTTGCAGGGAAGAATGTAATTGTCTTGCTCAAAAGGGCAAGCTGGCAGATTCTAATGTTCTCTCACATGCTGTGCACGATAAACATTCAGCTTATCTTTCGAAGAACAATGAGATTTCATGTACTGCTGCTTGACATAAGAATTTTTTATACATATCTCCATGCCACTGACTCTCTTGTAAGTTAATCTCATCTCTCATCAATTTTTCACCAGCTTCACTCTGATGTTGATAAAGGAGATGGTTCCATCAAATACATCTTGTCAGGCGAAGGGGCAAGTTCCATTTTCATTATTGATGAGAACACGGGGGATATTCATGCTACAAAGAGACTGGATCGAGAAGAACAGGCCTACTACACACTTCGAGCACAAGCACTAGATAGGCTGACTAATAAACCCGTGGAATGAGTATGAGAAGACTGTAAGACAATATCAAATGCGTTTGAAAATGAGTTTGTTTGCAGGGAAGAATGTAATTGTCTTGCTCAAAAGGGCAAGCTGGCAGATTCTAATGTTCTCTCACATGCTGTGCACGATAAACATTCAGCTTATCTTTCGAAGAACAATGAGATTTCATGTACTGCTGCTTGACATAAGAATTTTTTATACATATCTCCATGCCACTGACTCTCTTGTAAGTTAATCTCATCTCTCATCAATTTTTCACCAGCTTCACTCTGATGTTGATAAAGGAGATGGTTCCATCAAATACATCTTGTCAGGCGAAGGGGCAAGTTCCATTTTCATTATTGATGAGAACACGGGGGATATTCATGCTACAAAGAGACTGGATCGAGAAGAACAGGCCTACTACACACTTCGAGCACAAGCACTAGATAGGCTGACTAATAAACCCGTGGAACCAGAATCTGAGTTCGTCATTAAGATTCAGGACATCAATGACAATGAGCCAAAATTTCTGGATGGTCCTTACACTGCTGGAGTTCCTGAGATGTCTCCTGTGGGTAAGTGCAAAATACAGTTTTGATGTTGTGGGAAATTTGTTCCTATTGCCTTTCTAAAAATTTCATTATTTTTTTACTGCATCACACTAAGCTACTTAATTATCTATGAGGCACCTGCAACAGTTAGATATTTCAAGACTTAACTGGAAATAACATGATAGATTAACTATTTACCCTTTCAAGAATATTGTGAAACTGAAATAGCTATGTAGGGATTCAGATAAGCATTTTATGGTGTATTTCTCATTCCAGTGCCCAGAGGCTTTGTTTTATAATTCTCATTAGCAATAATAAGTTTCATGCCTATCCTGTGGTACTCAGAAGTGATAGTATATAATTTTGTTCAAATAAACTAAGTTCTGGAAAAACTCTTCAGCCTGCTGGTGCATAATGTAGTTCTTTTGGTAACATTGCCTATATCAGTAGCAGTTTACTTTATATCTTTCCTAATACTGAAGTTGCACTCTCTGGGAAATACAGGGAGCAGCAGGGTACAACTTGAGACAGTTTCAAAATTCCAGTGGAATCAGAGAAGAAAGGCTTTTAGAGGCTCCAAACCCTCTCTTGGGAAAGAAACATCCTGTGTTTGAATTATGGAAGAATTTCAACGTCAAATCCACTAAGTCTTAATTTTAAACAGACCAAATGCTGATCTGTTGTCAGGTGCCATTGTTCTTTGGAAGCTGACTGATTCAGACCAGATAGGAGCTTCGCTCAGAGAAATTTTTGCAATTTTTACATTAATATGAAAATATAAATGCAAGCATGAAGCTCAAAAAAAGCACAACTTGAACTACTACAATGGAAATGTGTATATGGGAAGTCTCATGCCAGATTAAGAGAGCTATATGGTAATCAAAATTAGGAATTTCTTTGCTAGACTGATTTTAAACTACAACAAAGTTTGATATTCTTACAGTAAAGCTGCCCATATATCATTTAATATCGTTTCCTCAATGTGTTTCTCCTGTGTTTCTGGCTTTTAAACAGTGCCTCTAAATGAGAGAAAGAGAAAAAGAATCTTCCCTGCCTAAGTGCCCTGCAGCAATCATTAGTCAACATTGCTTTTATTTTTTAAATTCAGTTTAGGAAACAACAGAAGATAAGTAAAACATTGCTAATTAGTTTTCTATTTATTTATTTTACTAAGCAGTGAGTATAGACACTACTTCTCATTTGACACTTGCCATGATTTCATTGTCACTTGAACAATAAATGAATGACTGAAGAGGCAACAGTATCTTTGGACATAAAGATAGGCACCACATCTTTTGAGGAGTATCAGGGAGGAGATGAAGCTGTGATACATTGCTGAGAACTTTTTACTGCTGCACGTTGTAAAACTAAATATTCAGCACTTTAAAAATATATTCTGTAAATATATATGTATATATATTTTTAACTGCTGTTTTATATTAGAATTAGATTATTTAAGTGAGCTGCAGCATGTAGCTATTACTTGATTTTTACACTATTGTCATTTGCCCTGAAGAGCACAATCTCCATATTTTGCTTTTGCATGAGCTACCATATCTTGTCCTATGCTGGCATATTGACATATGGACAACTACTACAGATTTATGAGGTTTGCCTATACACATAAACCAATGCCTCTACCCCTCACCCATGCTCCATTTGTCCCCAAAATATATTGTTAATCCATCTGAGGGGAGTACACAGTGTGCGATAGAGAATATAAGGACTGTTTTTCAAAATGAACTGCTTTTGCATATTTAGTTGAATCTTTACCAATAAAATGACTGAAAGAAATTCTATCCCATAAGAACTATAGCAACAAATATATTTTCAACTTAGGTGGAATATTTTACAAAACTGAGACTTGTGCACTGTCTGGGATTTGTGTAGAATAAGGCTGGCTTCATCTTCATGAGCTTCCTGAAATGACATTTTCAATATCTTCATGGTTTTGATCACACAACTACTGAATACTGCATTGTTACTGAACGAAGTATGACCATGAAATGCCTGTGTGGCTCTTGTCTTACATAGTCACATTGATTCATAGTTTATTCATATAACATAATTTTTAATTAATCACTTAGAGCATTCATGAAATGTTAAGGAGGAAAAAAACAAAGTATATCTCTCTTATTTTGCTTAAAATTATATCCATGATGAGGATTTTTAATTGGATATTAAATAAAATGAAAGAGATCATAGGATTATAAATCCAAATTAACTATAAAGATAGGAGAACTATAACTTCTAACCTAAAGGGTGGTTCTGCAAATATAATTATTTTGTATTTTATTTGACAAATATTTTAAGACACTATCAAAATCTAATTGAAATGAATCTTTTCTGTTATTTGAAATTATTTCAGGTCAAGGTCAAATTATATTTGGGTCAGGCCCAATTATATTGATTATTCTCAATAGGGCAAATATCTTAATGGCTTGTAAATTTATTAACAGCAAAAGCCTCAAAGCTATGGGTTATCTGAAAATCACAGGGCTTTTATTTAAGTCTCTTACTTTAAAAAAATCTAGCAGTGTTATATTTCAAAGAAAAAAGTGCAAATTACTGCTTCACTTTCTCTGACCTCACTGATCTCTGACCAGTCTTGGGCTTTGTCCCCAAGTGAATGCTATCTAATCAGGCTACAGGGGGATAGGGAGGAGGTGAAGATGGCAGAACCTTTTCTCAGGGGCTGTCACTACCCTTCACTTTCCTGGCGGGGAAAAGCTGTGGATGCATTGCTGTATTGGTTCTGGATGAAGGCCCATGGCAGAAACACAGAAATAGCAGATGGTAAGGAGCAGAACAAGGCTGGACAGTTGCATATAAGGATTAAGCAGGTATTATGGATAATTTGATAGTAAAGGTGTTGAATGTTTCTATTAGCAGCTGATATTACATAGAAATGTGATGCCATCATGGAATTGCTTTGTGTATTACACACATTACACTCCACTAATATCAGTCAATGCCTTGAATAACTGACCGTCTTTAAAGGTCTATTTTTAATTTGTTAATGTGGCTACAATCCAATTGATAAGGTTTTGTGCAGTTTCAAAAATATGCATTTGTTAAGTTCATCTGGTTTTAGAAACCAGTTTTCCCGTAAGTGATTCCACCAATGTTAAAAACTGGATTCATGCAAGCACTTCTCACACAAACTAATTAAAAAACTTCAGTAAAACACTACACAAGTTAATAGTAAGCCTTTTAAAAATCTCTGGGCAGAGATTTCTAGAAGAATGAACTCAGAAGTTTAAGAAGGATCTCTTTGGAGGATCTCTAACTCAAAATAAACTTCAGCAATCAGTTTATCTAACCATGTCGGAAATATGCTGAATCTTGGCTTGAGTAAATTAAAGTGCAAAATACTCCTCTCTTTCTTTTGTCCTAATATCAATTTTTTAAATAGGTCAAGTTCTCAGATTGCTGTGATTCTGTAATATCTACCAATATCTATTGAAGATTAGATTAAAAATGACATCTTAAACATTCTGAAAAAATGCATAAATCTGTGCCATCCACATCAAATTCACTGTGTTATTAGTGGAATCAGTAAAGAAATATGTGGAACATGTTTTGATTAGCAGCATGGATTTTCTCTCTGAATTTGCTGCAATTGCTGAAAATGTTTATGAAGTTGCTACATGTAGAATTCTTTTTAATGAGCTGGTATTCAGGGTATTTTACAAAGACATAAGTATAAAGAAAAAATAATTGTAAAGGAATCCATATCTGAGGGGAAAGACACTTTTTTTCAGTAAATAGCCCCTTTTTTCTTTTTTTTCTTTTTTTTTTCTTTTTTTTTTCAATGCATATCAGATACATAAACTGTAAGAAATATTTAAAGTTATATTGTGAAGCTACAGGATGTAACAAGTCATTAGTTAAAGTTTGGGGTAGGAGTAGTGTCATATTTACACCTGCAGTCTAGGACTCTGAACAATGCTGCCATAGCCAAGATTTACTGGGACAGTCATTTTATTGGATGGCGTAAAGGTGTGGTGCCATTTGTTGACTGTCCCACATTGCCTGTAAGTCCTGACCTTGGACATATGTATGACAGCTGGATGCCTGTGTTATGAGATATGGCCAAATGTTCAGGAATAAAAGGAAACTTAATTTCAGGGCAGGAACACAAACACTCCTTTTATAAAATGATGTAGCTGGAACTACAATGCAACTATGTATTTTTCCTCAATCTAAACAGTTATTGAGTATCTGTGAGCATCCACAGAGCTTTATTGGTTACGTTTTTTAAAAAAGGAAAAAAATAATATGAATTGGACATCAACCCATTGCAAGAAGAATTAGGACAGATCTGTGTTGCAATGATCATCCTCCAAAAGAATTCCTATTCTTCAAGAGAAAACTGCTTCCTCTGGGAAAATCTCTGGAAAACTTCACGTACTGATCTTTCAGTGCATTATGTTTCCTTGGAACAGATCTCCTACACATAGGGCTTTTCACATAGTTAGCATATGTTATGTTAGCTTTCATATTCTTTTTTAAAAATACATAGTGCAGAAATTGGTGTGGAACTTCTGGAAGCTCAAAGTTTTTGTATGCAACTTGTAAAGAAATAGTGACAATAGATGTTGTTTTAAAAGATCTTTACTCCATGAACTTTGAGAGAAGTCAATTAGCACAAAGGGAATAGAAAATTATCATTGTTTTTTAGTTACTGATTACACTCAAGTGGGATGAGGGCAAAAAGATTTGGTATTAGAATTTCTACTTTAACAAACCCACAACTTTTCTGAAGGATCTCTGTGTGTTTTAAGAGAAAACAGATTAGCTTCAGATACTGACTTTATTCATCTCATGGAATGTAGAGGGTTTGTTTGCTACATCAATAGATTTTTACAACAAACAAGCACTTCTAAAATTGCGGGATTTCCAAAATGTCTGTGTTAAGGTTGCAGAGACTTTAATTTCTTTTATTTTGTTTTGGTCTAGAGTCCTTGAAAACTGCAAGAGCAAGGAGCAAAGATGTAACTATATGAGGTTTATAAGCACTTTTGCCAATATTTGCAGACATTGTAATATTCATTGGCAAGGCTTAGGGACTTTGTAAATGTGGTAAGCCTGGCTTTCACAAAGCACACAGGATGTCAAATAGTCATTATGAAAGCTTTGTACTCAAAAGCCAGAAAGACTCTGGCAAGTTTAAAATAGGTTCCTGTATGACACTACATTATAGAGTAATCTGTAACATCATTTTGACATACTGATTCAAAGCTCTTAGTTATTGGTGAACAGAAAATTGATGTATTTAAAGTCCCATAACTGATAAATGACTTGATGGACTAACAACCAATTTTCTTTTAAAACTTTCCATCTACTTAATAATTGAATGGGAAAGTTCAGGCTGAGAATAACCTTTTCCTTGTCCAAAATATTAGATAGTCCACAAGAGAGAAAAATTGCATTTAAAATAGAATTGCAATCATAATACTTTGTCATGGATACTTCAGGTAAAAGGATAAGGAATGTGGGTTAGCTAGACCATAACTTAATAAAGTTCTTTTATAAGCGATCATTTCTGGTTAGAATTCATTCAAGCAGGTCCCATCCTTTGCAATCTCTATCCTTTTGTGTAGAACTGCACTTAATCCTCTCTCTCTCCAAGCCATCAGTCTGGTCCCAGGACTCATTTATGATCCTCTCCTTAAGTGAGAATTCAAAAGCTGAGGAAAATGGATGGAGGACATAAAATATCAGACATGAAGAATTTCAGAACTTTTTCCCACCCATTTCCCAAAAAAAACCAACAAAAACAAACAACACAAAAACACAACAACACAACAAAACCAAGTAAAACTGACCTCAATACAACCTATGTTGACCCCAGACACTTCCTATTGCAGTTTTGTTGTTTTTTTTAAGTGATTTCTAGACTTGCAGCTCTAATTTTTGCATTTAAAAAATGTGTTCATTTGGAAATATGCTTTTAGCAAATGCATTTAACAAAAGCTTTTCTCTAATTTTTGTCTAAATCCAGTTTATGAAGGTATCTGATCCTCTGTTGAAGACCTTTATTAGGCTTCTGCAAAACTGTTACAATATTAATTTGCAACCTAACCTCCAAATGGGTTCCTGAGCTGTTTAAGGGATGGTCTCAATATTAGATAATCTGCCAGTGAGAGAAAATAATCCTTTCTGGCTATCAAAGGCGTGGTGACCATGGCCAAAGTCCTGTCTCCGAACTGTTGTTTTATTCTGCTGTCAGCATATATCAATGGAAGCTGTTGTACAGAACAAAACAAATGGGAACTGACATGGAGAATATAATGAATAAGAGCTGAATGCAGAATTAGTTCCTCACAAAATATACCTTTCTTGCTTGCCAGTTAGACATTTCACTTCCTTATTGTCGTCAACATAGAGACATTTCTTGCTTGTGAAATGTTTATACAGCAGATTATTACCAAAACTGATACTAAAATATTGCAGAGTATTGAAGCAAATGATACTTTTAAAAGGAATTTAGAGAAAGCTCTCACCAGGTTTTTTCTGAGATGAAGCAGAATTTCTTCAGCTATATATTTATAAAAAGGCAAATAATTGTATAGGCTAAAATTAGTTGTATATGTATATGTTTACAGTTATAAAAATATATATTTATATATTTATGTATATTTTAATCTTTAGCTACTCATTACAATTTTGACAAGCTGACTTCTCTTCAAAGGGAAGCGGCTGCTATGTAGTACTCAAGCATATTTCAGAAATCACCACCACTTTAGAAATACTGTTCCCATTCCCTCTACCAATCAAAGGCAGAGATAGAGAGGGAGAGCTACTGAGTGATATGGTTTTAATTGTTGTGAGTCAAAGGCTGAGACTATTTGGGAAGGTGGAGCTCAGTAATAGCTGATAATACTGGTTGACAAAGAGGACCTTAGACTCTAATCTAGATCAGCATGGAAATGATGAACAGTTGTGAAAAAGCCAGCTCACTCTGTTCCAGGTATATATTGACATGTTGAATAAGTGTGGTTCAGATTTTTTGGTCTTTTATGTACAATAGTTCCTTAAACATTTTGCAGGTACCTCCGTGGTTCAAGTGACAGCCACTGATGCAGATGATCCTACTTATGGCAACAGTGCTCGAGTGGTTTACAGCATATTGCAAGGACAACCTTACTTTTCTGTGGAGCCAAAAACAGGTAACTTCCCACAAACTCTCTGCAGTAATGCTGAGGAAAAAAAAGGAAATGTACATTAAAATATTCTAGGAAATTATTAATGTGGTTTGTTTGTTAATTGAATAAACTTGGATATTATTTCTTTTAATCTCTTATTGTTCAGAATAGATTATGAAAACACACATCTGAGCTGTGTGATAAGGAGACATTGCTGGAATGGGAATTTTTATCTTGTCATTCTAACAGACCCCTGATCTGCTGCCTGTTGCTGTCTTCACAATCAAAGAAAATATCAAGATGCTGTGAAAAAGTTTTTTTGCAGACGCTTGTTTTAGAAAGTGCTAAATGTCATATAGCCATATTTCCTTTAGTATAGATTCAAGGCATGATCACCTCTCCATTCTACTTTTTTAAACGGAAGTTTTATTGTGGGAAATGTATCTTTTCTTTATTAGCTTGGAGAAGAAAGCACTGTGCTTACTATCCTTATCTGATACAACATTTTGCTGCCAGTTTCAAAACAAATTACTGTTTCAGTTTTTTGGTACTATTTTCATGAAGTTTTGTGAGTATCTGAAGACACACCAAGATGCAGTATTTAATCCTGTTAGTTTAATAAACACTACCCATTCTACTCTATCATTTAATAGAGTAGGAAAATAAGTCCTGGCTCTACTCAGTTCAATTTGGTGCCTGAGCCTTGACTTCCACCAATATGGAGGACAGTTATAATCTTCATTTCAGACATGGACAAGACAAAAGATAAAAAACCCCTGTTTACTCTATTTATCATAAGCAATCGCTGATGTGAATCAGACCTGAATCCCAATAGTTATGACCAAAAGGTCACACTTTGTTTATAAACAACATCTACATTTGCAGAAATAAGTACTGTCTTTATCTTCATATTGCATCAGGTCCAACCTCAGCAGGGATATATAGCACTTTCTTTTCCCCCAAATAAGTATGAGCTATAGTGTCTCTCTCTCCATGCAAATATATGTACAACTTATATTGTCATAATGACTGCAAACATCTCTTGAACAATAATATGGTAGTTCCTGATAAATGAAAATCTTTAAATTCAGACTGAAATGGTTGAGTTTTCACTTTGATGTGATACTCAGATTTCCTTTGTGCATGATAATTTGCTTCCAAATGATTGGCTAATGTTGCCTAGCAATTTAACAAGCAGGCCAGAACAAGCAATGTAGAAAAAAAAAAGTGAAATTATATATTAATTGTATTTTAATATGTCTTGTAAAATCGGTGAAATAGTGCCATTTTTTTTGTGAAATAATATTTCAACCCAGAGATGATTAATGGCAACCCCTGCATTCATAAGGGAAGAAAGAAATAAAACGCTAACTAAACATTCAACAAATATCAGATTAAGAGATATGTGTCTCAGTGTGCCTCTCCTCTATTTAGTTTGTTTATGCTTCCTTTGCTGTTGACACTAAGTGCTGATGAAGTAAATGGCTGCCTCTCTGGAAATCAGAATGAGCGCTGTAGTGTGTACTAAGCATTAAATATTCATAAAGTCATCACATTTTGAGAAGGCATATTTATTTTCTGATCTATATCAACATACCAGAAAGGATGAAACAGAACTTTCTTCCGGTTTTCACTTTGAATCAACTAATTACAAACTGTGTGCAGATCATCAAATGGATATAACAAAAACTACTTCAGATATTACAGTATTTCCATAAATAAATAACAAATCTCTTAATTCCTCTAATGTTTTAGAAGTGGGTATTGTTAAAGCAAATATATGGTAAAATAAGGTAATTTCACTTTTATGTGGAGTGTGGCATCATATCACTATTAGTGAGAGATAATGTGAATGACTATTCAAGACATTGTGAAATTACTCTTGATCTTGGAATCTTAAAATGAATGCAGAATATTCTCTTCTTCCTTTCTCGAGAAGAGTAGGAAATCAAACGCACAAGATGATATTTTCCAGGAAAGGGCATGTTACCCAAGACATCATGAAGTCTATAGTTCAGGGAGAAGATATTAGGAACAAAAAAACATTATCCGAAGAATCTCATACTACATAGAAATTGGTGGGTTTGGTGACTACTTAAAATAAGCTTGTAGTATGTCAGTTCAACTCAGAGTCAAAAAGTGTGACATTAGCAATGCTATTAATTCCTCCGTCTCTTCTTGCAATCATTGATCTGCTGCTACATTTTAAAGGCAAACTCAGCATTCATGGTAAGATATTTACTTGTGCAACCGCTGATGTATCTTGTCTTACTGCAGGTGTTATCAAGACTGCCCTTCCGAATATGGATAGAGAAGCCAAGGACCAATATCTACTTGTTATTCAAGCAAAAGACATGGTTGGGCAGAATGGTGGATTATCAGGGACCACATCTGTCACCGTCACCCTGACTGATGTTAATGACAACCCACCCCGCTTTCCACGACGTAAGTTACATTGTAAAAAATATGACTTGTAACATTATTTGTAAACACTGTTATTTTATTTACATGACATGCTATTTCTAAACAAAGAGTAGAAGTACTCAACCTCCATGTTAAGTACTTTGAAAATCACTGGCAGCAAGGTGTATTCTTATTATTATTACCATAATTATAATTATTGTAATTATTGTAATTATCATCATCATTATTATTATTACTACTACTACATTGGAAAAATATTTTTTCTTTTTTAGTATGTTTCGGATCAGTTGAAATGATGCTTTGCAAATGCATATGTTAGTGTAACTTACTTCCTTTCTATGAATAAAAAGAAAAAGAAAGATATACCTTAGTAGATACTTAGATCTTGCCAGTTGCACTTCAGAATGCATAGATCTTTAACTTGACTCTTAATACTTCATACTGCTTTGGCATTTTAGCAGGATTTCTCTTGGGCATACAATGTTTCCTAAGAGTTAATCACAGAAGAACTGGCAAGTCATCTTCCCTCCATCTACTTTCTTTGACCAAGGTGGCTTTCATCTTAACCAAAGAAAGGCCTACACAGTTGTACACTCAAACCTGAAGAGCTGTTTTTATTAATAGCATTCTGTCTGGGGGACTTATTTCTTAGGGGGCAGAAAAAGAAAGAAAACAAAGGTGTTTGCTAAGTTATAATGTGAAGAATATATTCACTTTCACTCTAGTCTCACCCTAATGATATAAAAATTAGAACTGCACATAGTAGATTTACTGTTATTTCAAGCCACCAACTGGTTGAAATAATACTAGTATAACTGAAGTTATTTTTGAAGGTGTTATTGGACACAGACTACACTCAGACACCTTTTTGACAGCACATATATGATTTTCTATTGAAATGAAAAAGCTGAATTTTCAAGAATACAGATGGTGCACTTACTGTTAAAGAAATGAATACGTCAGTTTCCAGTCTACCTAATAAAGATTCACAGCTGTGAAAGAATAGGAGTTTATATTGATGTTATGTGACTTACTAGCTTTTCTTTCTTTTGTGGAAAACAAAATTTCTGGATTGGAACTGTGCAGCAGGCATTCACCTCATGATTTTGCACTTCAGTTTTGAATTATGTTTTTGCATCTTTGCATTGTACTTCTGTCATTGTAGGAAGAAATTATGCCCGTACTACTTAAAATAGAGTCAATCACAAGGAAAACAGCAAAAAAAAAGAGTAATTCTATTTCAAAGTGAATATATTTTGGTAGCCTGAATAAAAATATACATGATTTAAAGGAAGGTAGGTTTTAAGAAGGCTAGATTTTTTTTAGGCTACAGTCTGAGAAGACTCTCAATTGATTACATTTTTAAATTTCACAGGATCTTATCAGTATAATGTCCCTGAGTCTTTGCCAGTGGCTTCTGTGGTGGCCAGAATAAAAGCTGCAGATGCAGATGTGGGACCTAATGCTGAAATGGAATATAAGATTGTGGATGGTGATGGTTTGGGAGTATTCAAAATTTCTGTTGACAAAGACACCCAGGAAGGAATCATAACAATTCAGAAGGTAAATGTTCTTTTTCTTAGTTATTCTGTGTGAATCTGTGCAAGATAAAGACAGGTAATGAGACTGAACATTTGTTTATAACAGCCTTATCTACTGTAAGATTTTCCATTGGTGTATTTAATCTTGACTTCTGTGTGTCCATGCTTGTGTGTGATTTTGAACTTTTTAATGACTTAGACTGAAAATTCTTGTGGGTATTTTTGGCAGTAGCTACATTGTTTTGATGAGTTTAATTTTAAAGTTCCTGCACATAAAATTTTGGATGGGAACATAAGCCTCAGTCTTATATGTCCTTGAGTTAAACAGAAAATGTGAAAATATATCTTACAGTAACAACGCAAGCTCCAAATACAAAATGGATCCCAAATATAATTTTACAACAACAACAAAATACTTAATTGTCTTTGACTGATGTTGTCCTACTCAGATGTTACACATCACTAACATTAAAATTATGTATCAGTAAGAACAGTTGTTTTACAGGATAACATATTATTTAAAAAATGCAAAGCAATTTAAATATTTTTATAATTTATATTTTTCTTCTCAGCTTTCTATCTGTACAGTTACAAAATTATAATTTTAAAACTGAAAAATCATGTTTATATAAAACTACTAAAACTCAGCATTCTTACCTTGCTACAATACATTTTAAAGAGTACCCTTTTACAAAATAAAACTATGCTGAAATATTCTGCAAGAAAATTTAAATTTTGAGGAGAACAGGAAAAAACCCAGCAGAAGAATCTCTTCTCATATAATTACATACTCTTAATGTGTGACTGCTTGGCAATGACAATACTGAATCTATGGTTTTAACTCTGCTGAGCACTTTAAAGCCCTCTAAAATGTGGGACTGACTTGATATTTTAGAATATGTGCAAGTATTTTCCTGAATACACAATGATGTCTGTAGTTAACATGATTTCATAGCAGATTTTCTTCCCTATAACCTCTTTAATCTCTGTAAACTTCACTTACCTATGGTGGTTGTTTGTTTGTTTGCTTGTTTTTTGTGTTTGTTTTTTTTTGTTTCATCCTCTGGTACATCAATTTCTTTCAATTCTTTTCTTTTCCTTGGAAAGAAGGTAATACTCCGTATTTCGAATCAATGGGGTAATTATCTGATGCCTGAACACCTGCCTAGAGCTAGTAAGCATTCATAGATGTCACGGGAAATGGAGGATGTTCAGCACTCTTGAAAAATCAGGCTTTAATACATGTAATGTGAATAATATTTTTTTGAGGCAAAAACATCCCTCTGAGGCTTCTTGCAAACTGTGCTTATTTCTGCTTAGCACATTTGAAATGCAAGTGATGAAAATTTAGTTTTGTCGTTTTTCAATAGCCAAATTCAGTGTGGCTCCTTCAGTTTGCTTATTTAAGGCTTTTGAGGAAAGATCTGCCAGAAATATGCCTTTCCTAGAGGGAGATACTTTATCAGGACCACAGTGAACAACACTGAATCGGTTGGGGGCTTCAGCATTCTAATTTAAGAACTCATAAGTTAATTTTAATTTTTAGTATGCTCTTGTAGTCATGGTGTTTTTTCCTGGAATATCCTGTTTCCAGTGTTGTACAGTAGACCAAATAATTGCCTGTAAGATATCTATAATCACTTTAGCTAGGGAGATGAATCATAGAACCACAGAATTATAGAATATACTGAGTTGGAAGAGACCCATCAGGATCATCGAGTCCAACTCCTATCCCTGTGTAGGGCACCCCAAGAATCACACCAAGTGCCTGAGACCATCATCCAAACTCTTCTTGAACTCAGGTAGGATTGGTGCTGTGACCACTTCCCTGATGAGCTTGTTCCAGTGTTCAGCTGCTGTCTGGCTGAAAAACCTTTTCCTGGTATCTAACCTAAACCTCCCCTGATTCAGCTTCCTGCCATTTCCCTGTGTCCTGTCATTGGTCACAGGAGTGAAGAGATCAGTACCTTCCCCATCTCTTCCCCTTGTGAGGAAGCCATAGATTGCAGTGAGATCACCCTTCAGCCTCCTCTTCTCCAAGCGGAACAATTCAAGTGACCTCAGCTGCTCCTCATAAGTCATCTCTTCCAGACCTTTCACCATCCTCATGGCTTTCCTTTGGATGCTTTCCAATAGCTGATGTCTTTTTAATATTGTGGTGCCCAAAATTGCACTGGACTTCCCAATACTGAGCATTTATCCTGAGAAGTGCTATATGAAATAGCTGCTGGATTGCATTAAAAATGTCACCAAATTTTGACCTGATGAGATACTCCAATTTGCTAATAATTTTTAAATCTAGATGCTGCTATATTTTGATAAAGGAGTTCAGACTTTTGTCTCTGTAGTGATAGAACTTTTCTCTCATTTTCCTACTATGACTGACTTTCTTTCCTCTGCCATACACAAAGATGAGTCCCCATGAGTCTCCCATCTCCCAAACCTTTGGATGCTCTGAGCTCTTCATTTGGACTCTAAGGAACTTGATGCCTTGCCCAGGGCTGAAAGATCCTCCCTTCCAGCTCTGCAGAGAACATTGGCTAGGAAAGAAAGTGAAGAGCTCAAGCACAGTGGCAAGAGATGACTGCACCTTGTTCCTCTCTGCAGAACATCCACATAAAAGACCATTGATGACAATGTGCACAGGTTAAATGGGCTTCAATCACCAAGCTTTACCTGCTGGATCACTATGGAGTCAGGCAGAGATTATCCTTATATGATAATCATAGAATCATTTTGGTTGGAAAAGACTTTTAAGATCATCAGGTCCAACAGTTTTTGTGCTTGTTAGTAAGGAATCAGGGAAGAAATTAAATCTGTAGCTTGGAATCTGCCTATAACTTTTTCCTGTCCTGAATGTGACGCTGTGTACACCTCTGAGTGCAATTAAGTCTTTCCTTCTGTTGCTTGTGAAATCAGCTGAGGCATTGAGAAAAAAACTCAGCCTCTGAATGCACGTCCATCATTTTAAACTCGTGTATACATATGCTCGGATGACATGTCCGTGTACACATCAAGTGGTAAAATGCCAGGGCAATGACTTCTGAAAAGGCACGCTTTCGTTCTAAATACAAATTCATGTTTAAGCATTGCATACTTTTATTACATTAATACATAAAAAACAGCAGGCTAGACATGAAAAATCACTGCCCGTATTTCTGAGCAGCTGAAGACACTACTCCTCTCACTTTTGTTCTGGATGTTGTGGATAATGTCTGGCACCTGGTTATCAGAGTTCCACACACAAACTGAGGATTTATGTTCAGGTTTTGGAAGGGTAACCATTTTGAGACAATTCAAAATGTTTACTTCCTCACTAAAAGCGAAGGCTTCTTTTTAACACATAAGGAACACCAGGTTAAAAAAAGAAAAAAAAAAAAAAAAAATTGTGAGAAGTGAGATTTAAGAATTCAGTTGCAAAGCAGGATCTTTTGCATGTCTCAAGTGGATGGAATATGAAAAAAAAAAATGCCCATGGATCAGCAAAAATTGCAAATAAATTATTGTTTATATAAAAATTCAGGAAGATTCAGTATCTATAAAAGGAGCCATACATGGCTAGTTATTTCACAAGATTACTCATGTATAACGGACTTGACTAACACATGTATTGATTTGAAAGGTGGCAAAATTAGTGAATGAGATTTGAGTGGTTTTATATTCATCCAAACATAGAGTATACTCATCTCTTAGATCTCTTCTGCATTGCTAAATCCAGATATCTTTCTGGCTTCCATGGTTTATTCAGGATGAATTTGTCTCTAAACATCTTGAGATCAGTGCTGTTTTTCAAATCATAATAGTAGTTCTGCTCATAGTTTTTATTGCCATGGCAGGACTGGGGGGTTACATGTTCCTGTACATGCCAGTACTGTTGCTGCCTAGTGCTTAATGGCAGTATATACTAGCTACTAGACTAAACCTCAGCTCAAGGTAATGTTTTGACAGCAGGTTGGTTCTCTTATAATAATTCCCTTGACCATAGGGAATCAAAGAAAGAAGGAATTTTTTCTCCATGTTTTCATTCACTAGGTCTTTATGTTTCCAAAGCATACCTTATGCAGCACAACTAAGGAGCACGCTGTACCACTGCTATACAATATTTGCTCCTATATGGTTTCACACGTACTTGTGGCACCTTATTTTCTTTTGTTGTAGTAAATGTGCTTAAATCAGAATTAAAAGAATGAGATGTGAAGTTCATATATTCCAGGAAGTTGCTTGAGTTCATCCTAGATTGGAAAAAACCTCAACTTTTCAAAAATATTACCTGGGACAAGGACTAACTTTTGTTCATAACTTTATGGCTTAAATAGTAATAAAAGGTGAAGTCTGAGTAGAATTGATTTTTTTGTGAGGTAGTGAAGCTAGATTTTCATCTTATGACAGGAGCTAGTTAAAACAGTATTGGACTATTTACTTGGTCAAATGAAAACACTTGACACTAAAAAACAAAGTCTGCTTTCTTCTGTAATACATTAGCTGAATTCATTGACTGAATTCATATGCAAAAATCTTATCCAAGTCGGTATATAAAAGTTTGTAAATTGTTTTTAGGACATCATGCTCTGTTTCCAGCCAACAGGATATGAAAAATGCTAGAGCACAAACTTTATTTTTCAGCAGCTGGTATAAACAAGTGAATGATACCTATTAGTATAGTTTAGAGCAGTATTCTCATCTTGCAGAAAAAGTGGGAAAATGGTGGGAGAATTAGTGTGGGTCTTTTCCTGCAGTCTGCTATGTTAATATAATTTGTTGCCTAGTAGTTTCAAGTCACTGAAAACCTTCCTCTTTTTTTTTTCTTTTCCCACTTTCTCTTTTATTAAATAATAATAATAAATAAATAAATGAAAAGTCCTAACTGGTCAAATGAAACAGAAGTAAACTCTTCTTTTATTTTTATCCCATGCAGACCAGTCTAAAGATACCACCTACTCAAATTTTGTGTTAGAGTTCTGATGTCACAAATAATGGGAGAGTTTGGCTTTTCCCCATTTCTTAGGCACACGCTCTGTAGTGAATTCCTAAGAAAAGCTAATTTTGATATGTCAATTCCATTTAAGCTGGATTCAGGAAAACATCTATCCTAGATGACCTTTTCAGAAAAAAAATAATTAAAAAAATAATTAAAAATAAAAATAGCTTTTGAAAAGGATTTGGCATTCTGCTCTTAATGCTCTGTTAGTACAGATTCGGACCATTTACGTATTTGCATTTCATAGTGGTGAGGGTGTTTGGAAGAAAAGTCTAAATTTTAAAAAATATATTAGAGTTTTAAATAATGTGTTGGATTTGACTCTGCAGTAGCAACCTTGGAATTGAAGAAAAATTCATGCAAAAGAGAGATGATTCAGTCATTTAATACAACAAATTGTGGTCTCCATGCAAACCTGTACAATTTCAAAGTGAATTCATGTTGACTCTTTGCAGAATCCTGATTGTAATACACATGAATGGAATTTTGGTTTCACTGTGTAAGCAAAATAAATACACAAGTCTATATTTTTTGTAGTTTCCAAAGCAGTATTCCTAAAAATAGCATACTGAAGAAGGCATCATATAAATACAGATCACGCTTTCTTCACAAAGTTGCAGGTTATGCTTAGACTTCCATATTAATAATAGCTTAGTGGCAGCATATCTGAGGATAAAAACCTGATGGATGATCTGTATCTACCTATACCTTATTCTCAAACCTGACTTCATTCTAAGAGTAATGCTGAGTTATAAAAATAGGGTGTTAACATATAAGTTTTTGAGTGAAAAGCTGTCTACTACTGTTAACTTTTCACTTTTTTTTTGAGCTAGAAAATCTTCCTTCAATTCCATATCAGAGTTTACAATGTAAGAACTTGAGGCTTCCATGGTTCCTTTGAATATGTGTATTTGTTTGATGTACTGTGATTTTCAATATAAAGCCTAAACTCAGCTTAAAAATGGGATATTCATCTCTGAAAATTAAATTATTACCAAGTTACCCTACAATAAAAAATGAACATTACAAAAATGGGCTTCCTGTGAATGATAACTTAATATCCAGCCTCCTTAATATAGATGACTTCTTTTGTAATTTTCTTCAGAGAGGATAAAATTTTTGCCCCTGTAAATAAAATTAAAAATATATATTAAAAAAATTAAAAAGGAAGAAAGAAACAGTGAGCCCATAAATCCTCAAATGAAAGAAAGATGAATGGATCCTGCTCAGGATCTATTTAGATAACACTAATGCACTGATATTAATGAAGCTGTCAAGCTCTATTCTCTGTACTGAAGGACTGAAGTGTACATTGTCTATTTAACCTTGAACAGTGATGTAGTGATTTGTAGTCTGTTGACTTGATATTCCATTATTGGAATCTTGTGCTTTTGTTATAACAGGAAATAATGAAGGCATGTTCTGAAGGCCATTTAAATAATGCGCTCTCTATGTCAGACATCAGTGATAATTAGATAAGAAGAAACAATACGAGGAAATATTTCCAGGTCACTTTTTCTGTCTTTCACTAGTGTCTGTAGTATGTAATTTTTTTATAATATTATCTACGAATTGTTGAAACATTCCCACCAAATCAAGAACTCTTGCATAATAATCTTACCTTAGAAGTTTTCTTTATTTTCCCATATTATATTCTTCCTCGAATCCCGGTACCCATGTATTCACCATAGGATGTGAGGATGTGTACGTTATATGAATAGACTGGAGATGGTGAATGGAGATTTTGTAGACATTGTCACACTTCACAGGAGACAAACTCTGCTACAAAGAACTAAAATCAAACAATATTTCTGCCCCTGTATTACACAATCCCATTTGATGTTGTAAAGCCCCTTAGCCAATCCATACTTCCCCTCTTCTAAAGGCGAACTACTCCCCACTATGTGTGTATATATGTTAGATTTTTAGATGTTTACTTTTTCAAGTTATTGAGACTCTCTTACTAGTGACTGGTGAAAAATTTGCATTCATAAGTAGATTAGCTGATTTCTTATCTAGAAGTATTTTTTTACACTAACAGTAACCATCATATGGTGATTTTCTCAGATATACATGGTTATGTTAGAGAAGGTGATACCTGCTTTTAGTAAGCAAGCCTGTTCAGAATATGCATTTGTACCATGGTTAGTTTTACATCCTTCTCTACAGGGAAATACCTTTCTAATGAAAGTGTGTTTTGTTTATTTCCTACTCAGTCTAACGTTCTTGTAATCAAGACAAATAAAGAATGGCCTCCTTCTGCATTACAATAGTGAAATATGAAGATTTAAAAATGCGTGTCAGCCCTTTGCTTTCACCTCTGCTGCCCCTCTGGCTGAACACAGGAATGTTTTGCAGATGCTGTCAGATTATTTTGCAAGAACATTTCAGGTTCCTATGATGTATTCAGAATCAGAACTGTGGAAAACCTCTTGAAATCTGTTCTACAAACTTGGAATTATAGTTTGAAAAGTTAGTTGAGTAACCAGACTGCAGTTTTAGTCATGCTCAGGTTTTTTGTTTCTTTTTCTAATGATTAAACTTGGAACTGCAAAGGAATAGTTAATGAGGCATTTGGTGCAAGCTAACAACAAAGAAAATAGGTACAGGGTAAATTATGCTAATATTAAGATGATACATTCCTTCAATAGTTACCTGTAAGGTAAGATGCTTTTTTGCTACCAAAATAGTTTTCCTTATGAGATTGTCCTCCAGATCATAGATATTCTATTAGTTGTGGGAGTACATTTTAATTCTAATGCAGTATTTTTTTCCAAAATAAACTATACTTTCATCAAAGAAAATTAAAGCAGAATGAAGGTGAAAAAAAATAATGTGCATTTTGTTTATTAAGAAAAATAGAATAATCTTCTGGCTGCACCTCAATACAAAATATTGTCACATAAACAATGTAGTTCAACCAATTACCACATTTTCTACACAAGTTTGTACAGAACAGAGTATTAATTGATTAGTTAATCCTAATGCACTGCAAAAGAAAACCCCACAGTTTTTTGAAGATTTCTCCAATGAATGAGTTTTTCACCAGACAGTACTATATTCAGTTCTTATGTCTGAATAGTATAATACATTGTATTTTGCACTACCTTAGATAAAATATCAAGAAGACAAAATGAAATATTCATTCACAATGATGAAATAATTATGGAGAATTTGGTTCTCAGACAAGTAACAGCAAGTTTTGTCACTAGCTCAGAGAATTCTTGTTCTACCTAAAGGTAGGACTACCTCTACTGTTAGTCATTGGTGAATATTCACTAGCGAGGCACTGCAAATACTGTTGTGAGAAAGCTAAAAAGTGGGCCATCCACTATGTTTTGCCAATCAAAAGTGCTGGTTGGATACAAATGGCAAAGTTTATTTTGTATTTACTGAAAGTTGTCAGTGAAACAGTTTTGTGTCAACATCACTGTATGATGAAATTTCCTAATAACTTCACCTGTATAGGAGCTGGATTTTGAAGCCAAGACAAGCTATACCCTGAGGATAGAAGCAGCCAATATGCATGTTGACCCTCACTTCCTGAGTCTGGGACCCTTCAGTGACATGACAACAGTGAAGATAATCGTAGAAGATGTTGATGAGCCCCCTGTGTTTACTTCACGTTTATACTCCATGGTGGTGTCTGAAGCAGCAAAAGTTGGCACTATCATTGGAACTGTAGCAGCCCATGACCCAGATGCATCGAATAGTCCTGTCAGGTAATTGTAAGATATATTAATTTTTAAATTATTTAACCCTTGTATTTCAATTGTTTATTTTGTTTTGTGAGAAGGTCTTTGGTTACAGTGAAAACAATGAGCTTTTCCCCTTGCAGGTGGAGATTGAGATGTTTTCAGAGTATGCATATTTTGAGCTTTATATTCCCAAACTACTGAACATTTCAAAAATAATATATTTAGGTCTCTGTAAAGCAAAGAAAAGCATCATAGAATCATAGAATGGTTTGGGTTGGAAGGGACCTAGAAAATCATCTAGTTCCATCTCCACTGCAAAGGCAGGGATACCTTTCACTAGACCAGGCTGCACAAATCCCTGTCCAACCTGGCTTTCAACACCTTCAGGGAGGGGACATCCATGAATTCCTTGGGCAACCTGTTCCAGTGTCTCACCATTCTCACACTAAAGAATTTCTTCCTAACATCTAACCTAACTCTACCCTCTTCCAGTTTAAAACCATTACCCCTTATCTTACCACTACACACCCTGGTAAAAAGTCCCTGCCCAGCTTTCCTGTAGAACTCCTTCAGGTGCTGAAAGGCTGCTATAATGCCTTCTCGGAGCCTTTTCTTCTCCAGGCTGAACAGCCCCAACTCTCTCAGCCTGTCTTCATAACGGAGGTGCTCCAGCCCTCAGATCATCTTCATGGCCCTCCTCTAGACTTGCTCCAAGAGTTCTTTGTCCTTCCTGTGTTGAGGGCTCCAGAACTGGATGCAGGACTCCAGGTGGGGTCTCACAAGTGCAGAGTAGAGGGGCAGGATCACCTCACTCAACCTGCTGGCCACGCTTCTTTTGATGCAGCCTGGGATGCAGCTGGATTTCTGTGCTGGAAGTGCACAGTGCCATCTTATGTTGAGCTTTTCACTGACCAACACCCCCAGGTCCTTCTCCTCAAGGCTGTTCTCAGTCCATTCTCTGCCCAACCTGTATTTGTGCTTGGGGTTGCCCCAATCCAGGTAAAGGACCTTGTGCTTGGCCTTGTTGAAAAGAGTATAATTTAAGGATTCCAAAGAAAAAAACCTCAATATATTAACAGATTAATTTGTCTCTACATTTAGGAAGAATTTATTATTATCTATAAAAAGACTAAAATATCTATAAATATATAAAAGTATATATAATATATAAAAATCTGTATAACAATATATGTAAAGATATAGAAATGTAATACATACAGTTTAAAAACATATTTATCTGTGTATGTATGCATAATGATTCATGTTCTGTGTGCACTATGCACAAGAACGTAATAGCAGGTAGACTTTTGCATGGTAAACCAGAGCTGAGGTCCCACGGGAAAAAAAAACAAAAAACAAAAAAACCCAAACAACAAAAACCCAAGACTTTTTTGGGAGAAATGGGTGGAACAAGACAGGTCCTGTCATGGTCAGAATGTTTAAATGCAATAATCTTTTGGCTTTTGTAAATTCTGCTGCTATTCTAATGGGGAGAGATATGAACACTAGAGATGCATGAAAACTGCCAAAGGCCACTTCCTTTGTCTTCAGTGTGTGAAGAAACTTGAGGTCTTCTACAGTCTAGTGTCCAGCATCATAAAGAAGCTATAGGGAAACAAAAAGCATCAATGATATTTGCCTGGGTATAAGGTCAAAGCTCAAAGACAAAGACTCACCACCTAAATGAAACCAATAATGAGTCACTTGTTACTTTTCTTATGCAGAGTAGTAATGTTAATTGTCAAAGGAACTTACAGAGGATCTAGAGGGTAATATTTCTGAATTTTGTGAACTTCAATATCTGCAGAAGGAGGAACACATACACAGATAAAAGCCAGTACTAAATTTAATTTGTTATTATTGTTATTTTAGAGCACTTCAGAGATATAGAACTCATGTGTATGTAGTCTTTTCTGGTGAACTTAAATTTTATTTTCATGCATTGAAGCCGATCTTGGGATTCTAATGTAGCTCTATAATTTTTAAAGCGGCAATCTTATATTGAAGAAGTAAAGCATATGTTTCACTCCTTCAGGTGATATAAGTGTTCTCTTTCTCTCTTTCCTCATATATTTGCAACATGTTAAAAATAGCTTATTCCTATCATGTATAAACAAGGCCTAGATGGCTGGCTGGCATGGATCTACTTGTGAAATTTATCTTTGCTGAGTTCTTTCTTTGCTGAGGCAGTGTTTTCTGGCACTGTTGATAGCACCTGGTACATAATATCTGGTTTAGTAGAATCATATAGAGTAGGTTAAATCCAGTTTCATAAATGGAGTCCATAATCAGAATTATTTTGACCCCTATGTAAAGATAAGAATTAGTTGATTGGCCTTTATCTGGTTATTTTTTTACAATTCCAGTATTTTATATGTATATGTATGTCTGTATACATATATATATCACCAGCTTAACTATCATGAAGGCTTCTACTTAAGAGTTTCTGGAATTTGAGACAGAGAGGACAAAGAAAAATAGTGAGGGCATATATATGTTTGTGAACATTCTGTGTACATAGTTAAGGGTACCAACTGATTATATCATTTAAAGCTGTTCTGCATCTGCTGTGATATACATAAGAGCCAGGTTCACCTAAAATTGAAATGTGTTAAGGAGGATTAATGCATAATACTTTTCATGATCTCGTTAAGAAGTTGAAATTGTTTATCTCTAAATAAGTATTCCTAACTCTGAACATTGGATTATATCGATATTGTTTAAAATCAGATTTGTTGTAATTCAGAAAATGTTGAAATTACAAGATCAAACACAATTAAAACCTTGACAATGCTGGGGGAGCATAATAAATATTGTCAAAATAAGAGTTTTTCTCATAAGGAGCATAGAACTATTGAAGTCTGAACTAGCTTAACAAAAGGGTTTAAAACTCCTGCAGCTCAAAGATTTTCAAGTATTAATGGCTGCAAGGAATTAAAGGATTAAAAGTATTTTAAATATTATTTAAAAAAAAATAATGAATAGGGTACAATGCTTGTAAATAAGTAAAGGGAAACTACTTGCTTCCTATTAATAAAAATTATTTTTCCTCCTGTTTCATAAGAGTCAGTCATCAGATTTATTTATCTTGTTTGATTCTCTTTCCCTCTTTCCTCTTTCCTTCCTCTTTCCTCTACCTCTTTCCTCTTCCTCTTTCTTTTTCCTTTCTTATTTTTTTATCTTTTTTCCTTTTCCTTTTCCTTTTCCCTTTCCCTTTCCCCTTTTCTTTCCTTGTCTCTGTTTCTTTCTATTTATTTTTTTATTTTTTGTAAGGTCTTTATCTCTTCAGATTGCATATTGATATACAGATTCCATAGTGATAGTGTTGTTAACTGGGTAATCTAAGGGCTGGCAAAAGATTGAGTCCCAGCTATGGGTCCTGCAAAGATGGACTACACAAAAGAGGTGACAGACATAGTCTCTTGGGGCAACTTGCCAGCCATAAATCTGCTGAAGAGCACTGCTAACCAACCAAACAACAGTACTGGCATGAAATAAAATAAAAAATGAACTACAGATACTATAAAATGGGAGGGGTGGAGAGGGGGGAGGGAAGTGGAAGAAGGAAAGCCTCAATCCATGAAAATTGGTGTTACTGTTGTTGCAACTCTTTACTCCCCTCTCACTCTCAAAGTGACACAATACAGTATAACAATTCTAATTATGTGACACATCTCTGCTCTAAGGTTTTGCAGCCAAGTTGGCTAGATAAAAACACAGTAATGCAACAAGGTATAAACTGGTATATTACACCACAGAAGAAACAGTGTCATTAAACCTGGGAAGCACCATTATTTAACTAGCTTCCATAATTATTTCCTTCCATGTTGTTCAATGGATTCGTTAAATGTTATACCACTAATCTAATATATTATCAGTGTAATGATCACACATGGTCTGGTTCAGTCATTCTAATATATTCTGAGTGTAGAGAAATGTTCTGGAGTACATACTTCACTTAAATAAAAGCACAAGGATCTGACCCAATATTAAATTGAATGTCAAGAATATTTCAGTTGTAAATCTAAATCTGAAACAACTATCCCTTTCTCTCAAAAGGGTTATAAGTGAAATGCCTACAGGCAATTTGACCTTTTCTGTTGTGCTATTTTCTGTTTGCTAAGGAGATAATTTCCCCTTCCTGAAACAAATTTTAAAGTAAAAGATATGTTAAGCCAAATATTTAAGTGCATGAACCTGTTTTTGTCTAATGACAGTAAAGCACTGGGAGCTGACAGTGATGACTTGCAAACCCTTGACCTGCTCTGCAACATCTCTCTCTTCTTTTGCCTGCTCATGCAGCTCTGGCTGGTGCAGGGGATCTTCTGCTGGTGATAGAAAGCTCAGACTTCTAACCCCATGGAGATGGTACAGCCATGTAGCAAACTTTGAACTCTCGTTCTCCTTAGCTGGGGTTCAGGAGGATGCTATTCCATGAATAAATAAACATTTGGCTTACAGCAGAGAGGAAGAAAGAAAAGTGAGGGAAACACCTATAACTTCACTTCAGAGGACACTGAGGGAAGAGAACCCACCAGTTTTAGCACAGGTTGCTCTGTAACTGTCTTGCCTTTGCATACAAATTTACTTCTCTCAGCACCCCAGAGAAACAGGACAAAAGCAAGCTCAAAATGTGGAGATGGGAATTTTTTTCTCTCTAATAAGGAAATGAGAGTTTTTTACAAGCTGTAATTGAACATAAATAAAAAATGTTCTTTCATCCTTCACTTAGGTACTCGATAGATCGAAACACAGACCTGGAGAGGTATTTCAATATTGATGCCAACAGTGGAGTCATTACAACTGCCAAGTCTTTGGACAGGGAAACTAATGCTGTTCACAACATCACAGTTTTGGCTATGGAGAGTCGTAAGTAACAATTTAAACATTTTATTGTCTCTTTATGTGTATAACTTCAGGTTTGGTTGAAATCAGCTGCATTGAGAGAAATTATTACCGTTTCAAACCATGGCAGGTAAACATAACTTCTCACTTAATGTAAAAGAAACCTATGTGCAAAATTAATAAACACAGCAGATTAAGTATTTGCTCTTTCTTTTGCCTCACACCTTTTGTAGTCTTTTGACTTCTGAAAAGAAAGGAAAAAGGAACATGAAATATGAGTCAGCAGCCTTAGACCAAACATCATTGGAGGAAAAGTGACATGAAGTGCAGAGCAGAGCAATTAGCCCATCATAGTGAGCACTCACCTAGACCTAATTGTTGTTAGTGAACCATAGCATTCTTAACAGGTATGAAGGAAAGGGACTGTGAATGTTGGTCTGGCCACAGTCATAAGGGACAATTAAAAAAAAAAATAAATTCAAAATACAGTAACAGTAAAAAGAGAGCCAGTGAGAATCTCCATCCCTTATTGGATGCAGGGGGAACATTGCAACCAAGGATAAGGAAGAGGCTGAGATGCTTAATGCCTTCTTCACCTCCATCTTTAATAGTCAGACCAGTTCTCCTGGAGTATCCAGTCTCCTGAGCTGTAGGATAAGGACAGAAAGCAGAGTAAACCCCTTATGTGGTTGTGGGTTTTGTGTTGTTTTTTTGGTGGTTGGTTTGTTGTCATTTTTTTTTTTTGGGGGGGGGTTGTTTGGTTTGTTTGATTTCTGTTTGGGTGGGTTTTGTTGTCTCCCCACCCACTGGGGGGATGGTTGGACTAGGTAATCTTGGAAGTTTTTTCCAAGCATGATGATTCTGTGATTTCACTTTTCTGACTCAAAAGTAAGTTGCAGAGGATGTTTGGTACTTGGCATCTTTTCTAGTGTAAGATTAAAAGTATTGAAGAATCAAACCCTTCAAGCACACATAATAAGAACTCATGTTTAATTCATATAAAATTGTATAAAATCATAACATCATTTAGTTTGGAAAAGACCTTTAAGATCATCAAGTCCAACCATAAACCTAACTCAATCAAGTCCAATGCTAAACCATGTCCCTAAGCACTGTATGGTGACTCCACCACTTCCCTGGGCAGCCTGTTTCAGTACTTGCCAACCCTTTATGTGAATAAATTTTTCCTAATGTCCAACCTAAATGTCCCCTGGTCCAACCTGAGGCCATTTCCTCTCATCCCATCACTTGTTACTTGTGAGAAGAGACCAGCACTTGCTCTTTACAACCTTCTTTCAAGTAGTTAGAGAGAGCAATATTGTCTCCCTTCAGCTTCCTTTTCTTCAGACCAAACATCTTCAGCTCCCTAAGCTGCTTCTCAGAAGACTTCTCCTCAAGACCTTTCACCAGCTTTGTTGCCCTTCTCTGTATCTGTTCCAGCACCTTGGTGTCCTTCTTATACTGTGATGCCCAAAACTGAACACAGAACTTAAGATGTGGCCTCAACTGTGCTGAGTACAGGCAGACAGTCACCTCTCTACACCTACTGGTGACCCTGTTCCTGATGGAGGCCAGGATGCTGTTGGTCTTCTTGTCCATCTGGGCATGCTGCTGGCTCATATTCAGCTGGCTGTTGATAAACACCTTGATGAACACAACTTATTCAGCTCTGAAAAAACCCCTATATATTTTTGCTTTATAATTGGAGTATTTGTTGATACTCAGTTGGACTGTTAAAATAAAATACTTATTTGTTCTCTGGCCTCTATTTTAAAAATCCTCATTTCTTGCTTTCAGTGAGGTTAATTTAATGTTTAACCAGAAAGCTGACATTTATCCTTTCGTGTCTGTATGAATTTATCTTGCATTCTCAGGATTTTGGTCGAGGAGTCTAGCATGGAAACAAAAAAAATGTACTGGGTAGCAATAAAACCAACAAGGTAGCTAAGGGGCACACTTACAGAAGTGAGAGTCTAGAATTAAAAAATAATACTTTACAATGCTTTAATTAATGTTCATGGACTGCTTGGTTTTCAAGAAGCTTAGATAAGCAGAGGATAAAGTTGGTGTCCAAATTGCTCACTTCTCTGGTATTTCAACATGTGGAATAACAAAGCAAAACAGTTCATGATCTACATCTGGATACATTGCTTTAAATACTTACATTTCCTAAAATGTGTTTCTAGTACGCTGTAAAAAGATAGATGCATATTTGCAGGTTTGTACAGTTTTTCTGCTGCCCTGCTCTTTCACTAATATTGCCACTTGTGGTATATAAAAAAAATAAAAATAAGTAATAATGCAATCTCTCTTTACCCTGCTGTGAAACAGGACTGTTGGCTACCAAAATAAGTATTGGCTACCAAAATAAGTATAGTGTACACTGATGTCCTTTATGCTTAGTGCAACATTTTCTACTGTTAAAGATTAAATTATGCCATTGGACCCTGAACAGATTAATATTTTAGTTAGAGATGTGCAACAGTTTAAGAATATGGATCATATTTAAGGCGTTCAACATGTTAATGACAGTGTTGAAATTTTTTGTTGGGTGTGCACTTTAAATACCTTGGGACTTGTGAACACAGCTTCCACTTCTTTTTATGTTATATACGCAGCTGATGGAATTCTGTTTTTGACTTCTTAATAGCCTGATCAACCTGAATTTCAGCAAAAAATTATTTAACCCATAATAACCACACTATTCACAATATAAATAGTGTTGTTCTGAGTTGCTGTACTCCTTGGCAATCATTTTACATCATCTTTTACTCATCTTTCCTTATGATGTGATTCAATGCTGTGATTAGTGACTTAGATTTTCAGTTTATCCCTGAGAGTAAAATCTTAGTTTAATTTTAAGCAGCTGGGAAACAAGAATTGTTTCTACTAGGTCCAGAAGATCAAGCCAACATCTTGCTTTGTCTTTCTAGGAGGTGTTGTAAATGATTTGAAACATATATGCAAAAGAAGGTCAATTAGAAATGTTCTGACCCAAGAATATTGCAAGAAACTTGCAAGGAGCTCCTCTTGATTGTTTTATTGGGTTCTTTCCCTATAGAGAATCCAGCACAGATTGGTAGAGGCTATGTAGCCATTACTATCCTTGACATCAATGACAATGCCCCTGAATTTGCCATGGAGTATGAGACAACAGTCTGTGAAAATGCTCAAGCTGGTCAGGTATGGCTTGACAGGTTTTTAATGTTTATTTTTTTCCTTATGAAAGCCCGACAGCCTTAAGATAAAATATAATCAGCTTATGGCATTACAAATTATGTTTGATGTGCAGCACAAGCAAATATCAATTAAACCCTAACATCTTCACCGTACTTCTGAAGAGAAAGACTTAGGTGTAAATATTAATTTTCAAGATACTGTTAAAACCTCTGTCTTTCTTACTCATTTAATTGACACATTTTGCTAAACTGACCTAATTTTGTGTAATAATAAGAATACCTACTTCCTCCTAATTTTGCTGAGAAGTGAGAAGTCATGACTTGGAATTTGTTCAGAGAGTAATGGCCTACCATTCCTGAAATGATTACACAATTTCATCTCCCTCGGGAGGTATGGGCCGTAAGGCCACGATTTCACAAGGGAGTTGTATTCCTAGCTTTTAAATTTCCCTGTGATCTAGGCAGAACTGTTAGCTCTTATTGTTTATCTTTTTATTTTAAGCAATGGTGACATTTTTAGAGGCAGATTTTGACCAATGTTGAGAAAATAAAATTGAAAAAAAAAAAAAGATAAAAAGAAATCCTCAAAAAGATTAATGTAAATATGAATTGGCTTTTTATTTTTCACAGTATTTAAAAAAAAAAAAAAAGTTAATTAAAATCCTTAAACACATAATCACCTCCTTGTGAAAATTTACAATGTTGACTGCCACCACTGATAACTTCATTAAGAGCCCTCCAGAAGATAACACTTCTTCCACTGCTTTGCGGTTTAAACTCTGAGGTCTGGTGAATGACAGGACCTGATATTCTCACAGGCCCTGTGGATCATTGCTTTTGGACAATAAAGTTAGTAAAGGGAAGGTAAAGGGTCAATGAACATTTTGGTTTTAATAGTGTCTATACAGGCTTAGGAGATTAGAAAACCAAAATGCAGTATAAGCAGGACTCAAGAGAAGGTTAATGCTTTGATTAGTAACAGAGGGGTTATACAATGTATATCTGTTTATATTTCTTACCATTCCAAATAATGAAACCCCAATGAATGTCAAAACAGGTGATCCAGAAAATCAGTGCAATTGATAAAGATGACCCACCAAATGGCCATCAGTTCTACTTCAGTTTAACAGCAGAAGCAGCTAATAACCACAATTTTACACTGCAGGACAACAAAGGTAAGGATATTTAATTTGGGTAAATATTCACCAGTAACATCTTTCATTTTTAATATATCATGCTTATTATGACCTACATAAACTTCTGTTCTTTTAAGGGCATAAACTACAACCATTCTGCAAAGTAAGTTTATCTGTACATTATTTGTCAGGGGAGTTAAGCTGTTGTTTGAACCAATTTAACCTTGAGCCAAACAGAGCAGCTTCAAATATATATATATATTTTATTTTTTTTTTAAATTTATTTATTTTTTCCCCCTAAAAGTCGCTTTTGTCACATTTTCTCCTTGTATTTATAGGTAGCTATCTAAATAAGATTTTGCCTTGGGGCGGTGACTGAAAAATGTCCAGGAAGTAATGTTTTATTAATATGACTCTGGGCAGAAAAAATGAGTGCTTGGTAAATTGAGAGGGTTCTTTTGGTTTTGTTTATGTGGCTTTTTTTGGTTTGGCTTGTTTTTTCCTTTTGTGTGTATATGCATTTTTTTGTTTTGGTTTGGTTTGGTGTGGCTTGGTTTGTTTTTTAGAAAAACACATCTTTTCAGTAATTATACCACCTATTTGAAGAATGCTTTTGATTTTGATACTGGAAGCTGCCTACAATATTTACACAGACTTCTTATGACTATGTCCCCAAAGACTTAGGCAAGGATTCCCACTGACATCACATTTCTATTAGTTAAAATATCTGAGAACATACTTGTAATTAGTGTTCTCATTAGTTGCACTGCCTAGTACAGCAGCTGGGCATGTATCAGTCAGTTTAGCTATTAACTGAAGCACATAGAGCTATACAGACACTATGTTACTCTTGCATTGGTCTTTTATGGATCAGTACTAAACCAGAGCTAGAAAGTCATCCTTATTAATAAAACAAGAAAAACAGACATATGGTGAACTTAAAGATACTGTTTATACAGACCGACTTTGAACAACATTCAGTAAGTACAACATGGGACTTAATGTAAGTTCTCTCACACAGCTATTTATTGCCTCACCCTGCCTGTAGTTACTGACATGCTTAATTTTCTTCATATGAGCAACTTGCAGTTCAGCACTGAAGAGTGCAATAGCAGTAATTATCAAAATAATAAAAATGCATCAGAATAAGTCTTAATTCAGAAATCTGACATTGTGCAAGCACTGTAAAGTATTAATGAGAAAACAGGTCCTCCTGTAGAGGATGTATAACTTGGAAAATACAGTAATAGACTTTTGCAAGGCCAGTAAAATCACTGGAGTTCAAAGACACAGCAGTGGTTGCCTCTTTGGATAATAGTTTTATGCGTATCTCAGATGATGCTATACAAAGAAATGCTTAATATTTTGCCAGATAGGTCATAATAGATGACACAGTAAGACAACTTTACAGGATTATCTATACAATTGTGTATAGATAGATAGACAGATAAAAAGACAGACCTTTTCTTTACATTCTGGGAGATGTAACTCCCTACCTCTCAGGAGATGTCAACTTGTACAGAACTGTGTTCTATACACATATAGAACTGAACACATATTTTCTGAAAGACCTGCATTTTTTAAACACCCAACTCAGAGCAGCACCAAATCAAGCATTCTAGATTGATGATATTACTCATCTTGACCCTCAGATGAGACTGAAAACAAGTTCATGCCTTTGTTACATGTGCAATTACCTGTTTTTGTGCACCAACTGTATATTTTTGCATTTAAAACCAAAAAAATCCTTTATCCTCAGAACTTAGTATCCTATTAGTATGTTCATCCCTTCCATTCATATGATATCTATATCTGTAAATAATTAAAGTAGACAAAGATGTAGATACTTAATCTGATCACTGAAGGGTGATTTTTTTCCCTTTTTTATAAGGATTTCATCTTCAACTGTTAATGAAGAGTGTGAAACTGTGAGCTTAACTAAAACCAAATAGACCTCTGCAATTTTGAAACAATTTTTTCAAGGGGAAAAGAAATCTTCTTTTTTAGTTTTGTATCATTTCTCAGCTGATCCTATCCCTGCAGCTTCAAAAATATATTACCAGGAAAGTTGTTAAAATGACTTGTTAAAATGATATAAATGAAGTCTTTTAAGTGAAAGACACTATTATTTAGATGTTTGTGTTTTAGAGAGGTCATGCATTTTATATTTATCTTTTTATTCCTGTATCCAGATAACACTGCAACAATATTAACCAGAAGAAATGGTTTCCGAAGACAGGAACAGTCTGTTTTCTACTTGCCAATATTCATTGTGGACAGTGGATCACCTTCACTTAGTAGCACTAATACCCTCACCATCAGAGTCTGTGATTGTGATGCAGATGGTATTGCACAGACATGCAATGCAGAAGCATATATCTTGCCTGCAGGACTTAGTACTGGAGCCCTGATAGCAATATTGGCTTGTGTCTTGACACTGCTAGGTACGTCTTCTTCCTTTTACCCTTACTTCCCATTCAAAGTATAAGGTATATACTTCTATATGTATATACACTTCAACACCACCACCCAACACCACAGTTTCTGTAAGCAGAGACATCTAACATTCCAGGCAGAAAGCATTTTATATTATGACACACACAAAATCTTTAGTTTGGGATTTACAAATTCAGATACTTTATTTCTATGTCAAGCTGCCTCCAGGCTTACATGTAAAATAATAGTAACAGAGATCACTTGCGTCAAGTGTAAGAGATAAACAATGCAGTTTATGGATGTATTAGTTTAGTTTATTCACCATATAACCCACATCAGTTTGTGAACCTTTTTCATATGTACAACTATTTTTGAAGATGTATTGATTTGCATAGAACAAAAGACAATCAGAAAATATAACAGATGTATTTTACTGATGGGAATCAACATATTTAATATAACATCTAAAGAGTGATCTTTTGTTGCCTCTGCAACTGGCAGCACACTTGGATTTTATGCTGTGCAGTGAAACTGCAGCTAGATCAAAGACAGTGGAAATCAGTGCAACTATGTCAACATCTTACCTTGGTCAGCATTTCTCATATCATGCTCAGTCCTTAAACAAAAGTACTGCATGGCAGTAGTAAAGGCCCAAACTGAGGAGTAGAATTGAAGGGTCACCCATCTTGTGCAGTTTTGCATATTGTCAGAAAGATCACATTTTAGCAAGAGTACAATTTCAGAACCACAGAATCACAGAATTCTCACGGTTGAAAATGACCTCTGAGATCACTGTGTCCAATCATCAACTCCACTCATTCCCCACCCCCCCTCCAAAAAAAAAAAAAAAAAAGAAAAGGCCCACTAGAGCATATTCTGATGTTCTGAAGTGCCTCCATCTACATGTTTTTCAAATACCTCCAGGGATGGTGATTCCACCACCCCCCTGGACAGCCTGTTCCAGTGCCTGACTACCTTTTCAGGAAATAAATTTTTCCTAATATCTAGTCTAAACCTCCCCTGACACAACTTCAGGCTAATTGCTCTGGTCTTACTGGTATTCACTTGAGAGAAGAGGCCAACACCTAGCTCTCTACAACCTCCTTTCAGGTAGTTGTACAGAGCAATGAGGTCTCCTCTCAGCCTCCTCTTCTCCAAACTACACAGTCCCAATTCCCTTAGTCTTTCCCCATAGGAAAATTCAGCAAACAAAAATTTTCTTCAGTTTTACCAGTTGAGAGATTTTTATTTTCCCTGGCTGCACAGGTCAGTCTAGTGGGAAAGGGAAGACCACAGCCTCCTCAGGTTGGTATAACCTTAGTGATCATTTATCTGTACTGTTATGCAAGTTATCTGAGTAGGTCAAATTAAGAGACTTTTGTCCACACTAGTTCATGGCAACATATAAAAAAAATAGAGATTTTTCTTTCTATCGACTTTGACTCAGCTCACTCTAAAACTTTAGAAGGAAATGTGTCTTTTGTGACAAACATTTCTAAAGGACTCAAAAAAGGAAATCCTCTTGCATTGTTGTTACAGAGTTCTGCAACGAAGCCAGCCAATTTACTCAATAGCCATTTAGATTCTGGTGGCATTTCCAGAGTTTTCCATCTTTATGACAAAAAAACCTTAAGACCATAAAATTTAAGATTGTTAAACACTCTCAGCACATGGATATGCCTAGGTTTAAGGAGAAGAGAATGTTTTAATGAACATTTTGAAAATACTATTTTCCTAATAGCATTTCTAAGCCATTTATACACCAAAATGAGCTTTGTTTGGACATGAAGCTAAATGGTAGATTTCAAAAAGTTATACAACAGTTTTGCTCATATCAACTGGCATTGGCATCAGTGGAAAAACATCCATTTAAAACTTAGCTCAAATGTACTTAAGAGGAAACGTTCTGTAACAATAGCAATTCACTTCATCCCGAATGGATGTCATCATTTCTCATATATAAAAAGGGAATTTCTTTAGATTACATAAGAAACTAAGATACATGAGCCATGTATCTTAAAAAAGAGCACTGAGGGAAGCACAGCATGTTACCAGGCAATAACTTGTATATTTTCCTCAGTACACCAGGGTTCAAACACAACCATTAAACCAAGAAACCTGAGTTTTTATTCCGGTCATTTTTATAGTGTGTTCAACAAGTATTTGGCAAAGAACAGAAGAGAAGCTCTCTTAACATAATGTTTGAATAATGGACTGTGCACTGAAGAGGAATCTGGCATATGACCACCTTACCGTTTATTTTATTTGTCAAAGAATTGGACTTCCAAATACAGCTGTCAGGATGTATCACCACTGTTTATCCAAATAGCCATTTGTATATGTTGTCATCATGTCCAATCTAAACTGTTCCTTTTGGGTACCATTCAAAGCTGCAGGCACAGTTTTGGCTGCATTTGTATGGTAACCCTGGTTTTGAGTCCTGCATTTTGGTACTTCATCCTGCTGCTGCTTTGTTCTAAGCCAGGTGCCAGTCTTCACAAGAGAGATGTGCCTAAGCATCACTGCTTCCCAGTGAAACCCCAGTCAAATGTTGGTGCTTGTTTGGTCCCAGAGCCTTTCTTTTTCTCTTATTCATTGCCAGAAGACATTTTGTGGGATCAGCTGAATGGTAGTAATGTTAGAAATTTACTTTCTCCTTTTCCCCGTTTCTTTTCACATCCATTCCTCAGAAAAAAATCATGAAGATCAACTTACATAGAATAAAAAATAGGCTTCTACTGTTGGCAGGTGGTTCGCTTTATGGGATGCAGGGATGCATCGCTTTATGTAAGAGTTTATTAGTGAAAAGAGGAAACAAGCTACCGGATCAAATATTTTTTCTGACCCAAGATTAACACTTAGTGCAAATCCAGCCAAATTAATGTAATTTAAATATGAGTGCTAGTTGTGGAGTGGATGAGGCATGAAATTTGCATAAGTATAATTGATAGATTAATTCTGTCACTGGTTTCTCAATAAGCTCTTATCTTCTTAAAGTTAGTATGATGTATTTTGTTATTTGTTCTCGCCCCATACATCCTGTTCTCTAATACGTACCCGCTTGTCTTGACCAAGTCCTCACAGTGGGATTTCTTAGTGTTATTATTTTTACTTAAACAATCAGTCAGTTTTAGATAAGAACAATGTTTTCACTGACACTTAGAAGGAAGAATGTTACTAAATGATACTAACTCATTATAATTGTATATAACATGGTGTAGAGTATTTTTTCAAACTAAAATACTTTTTAAAAGTTAAAAACATTTTACCAGATATTTTTTCTCTCCTCATATGGAGATAAGAGTCTAAATTTTATTCCACAAGAAAGTTCCAGCACTTTGTTAATTACTCAAGACAGCTTTAAAATTATTCACTTGGCATGAAATCTTTTTTTAAAAAAATGAAAAATTTTAAAAGCATATGAAAAGCTAGTTTGTATTCATTTTAGACTACATAATTTTAGAGAAGTAAGTAGGATTTTTTAACTCCTCTAAAAATTATATGGTAATTTAATTCAAGGTAATTTGTTTGCCAGTTAACGTCTTCCAGACACAATAATTGCTTTTGTAACAAGTGTTTAGCGCAAAATGTGTACATAAAATCACAGATAAAAGAATATTCACCTGTAGATCACCCAATCATATTTGAGAGGCTAAAGATTTTCTTTGTATTGAAACAATGGAATGGTAGATTTTCATAATGTTTTTTATTGTTTTTATGTTCTGTACATCTGAATATAATCTATTAGTACTACCTATTTTCTTAGAAACAATGAAGACAGATTCCTGTTAGTATGGTATTAGAGTTCATAAGTTACTAATACATTGATTAAGTTTCAAAATACATACTTAAATTATTTTTTACTTGAAAGATTAGGAATTTGTTGTTATTATTATAATAACTACAAGAACATAATTAAGTCAGTGCAAAAGTGTCTGATTCATAGACAATAAGAAACAGTCATAGATATAAGGATCTTATTTTCTTGATAGGTAAAATGTGTACAGAGCATGATTGTAATATGTGAAAGGCTTTTTTCTTGCAGTTTCGGAGTATCCAAATTAAGTAAAAGGTGGTAGAGTATGTGATGCAGAAGCTGTTTTCTCAAAGTTATAAAGCCTATGAGGGTCACTCAGTGTGGGCATTTAAAGGTCACAGTCACTTTGCAAATATCAATCCAAACTGATTAAATAACAGTTATGTATGAAGCTTGCAAACTGGGAATGAAATGTAGGTTTCCTGAGTCTTTGCCTCTTTAATTTCCAAAATTGTACTGGCCACTGCAAGGTATAACTACATAGGTTATGAGCTTGCTGCTTAGATGGCTGAGGATTTCCAGTCTTCAGCTTTATATATCATGACAGACCTAAAGCTTAAAAATGTGCAGATTTTCTCACAACTGATGTGGCTTTTTGCTATAGTAAATGCCAGGCTTAGGGTGTAGTAGATACAAGACATGAAAATGATTGTCATTTAGCTCTGTCCCTTGTTGCATAGCTCTGCATGTAGTCTTCTCAGGTTGTCTCAAGTGTTTTAAGGTTTCCTTCCAGTTATGTTGCAGTTCCATGCAGTACAAAAAGGAAAGACAAACACTAAAACACGGAAGTGTGACCTAAACCTGACTTTTTACCAGATCATAAAAAAAAATAAAAAATCATAATAATTCCATGAAGCACACTGCAAAACTGCAAAGCAAAAATCCATTCTTGTATTCAAAGTTGTCTAAAGATTGATTTAGGTGAACTGCAACTACTGGTATTGTCATTACATCTATACTGACACAAGGCTAAAACTACATGTTATGATACGTAATACAAATACAAATGACATTTTCTCTTGGCTATTGTATCTGTTAAACAAAATCAACATTTGTAATAATTCAGGGAAATCAGAACAAAATGGTTAGTTTAGATCTATTTTTATTAGTCCTGGTTTTTTGGTGCTCGTTGGTTTATTTATTTGTTAATTCACATATGAGATCAGTGTTGCCATCTCATATCTAGCATTGGTTTGGACTACAAGTATAGAGCCAAACTAGTGACATCGATGTGCAATACACGTATCTTTAAACCTTTCTCATTGTGTTACTACTTCTCTAAAACGCTTAAAATTAAGTCTTCTGTATGTTCAACCAGTCAGTAATTACTGACGTAATCTGCTTTTGTGACAAATGTAGGGGGAAAAAAACCCACCGTGACTTAATGAGAAATGGATAAACTTTCAAATAATTTGCACTTCATTTAGATATTAGTGAAAGTTGTTTTGTGTGGGCTTGTATTAATCTGTGGTGTTTCTGTAGTGCAGCTAAAGCTTTATTCATGTAGAGGTTAAATTTTATTCTTCATACCTGTTGAAAAGGCTAGAAATCAATAATCTCAGAAACCCATCTAACTGCTAAAATACTTAACCTTTAGAAAGAAGACTTTTTTCTTGGCTTCAAGCAAGTGTTAGATGTACAAGGAATACTATATAAAACGTTCATTGTATTTTGATTTTTATTGTACCTCTAGGCAGACTTGCCTACTGACTTTCATTTTTTTCACATATTAGTGGGTATTTAACTTTCAAAATGAAGTATGTTAAGAGGGACAGTGGTGTGAAAATGCTTTCACACTTGAGTAAAGGAAATTGCCTCTTACGCGGCAATAAAAAATATGGCAGTAAGTGTTAAAGATAATTATTACAAAGTTATGTCGATACAATATTAGCTTAAATATATTATTTTTTTTTTTACTCTCAGCAAGCTAATTTGTATTTCACTTTTATAATAAGGAAAATCTAGGAGTGGAGTGCAATTTTTGTTTCAATGATGAGTATTTTGCATTCTCCCCTATGTAATTTACAGCTCAATTTGTATTATACAAATATCAGAATGTTTTGAAATTTCATGAAAGCCACTTTAAAGGTCAAACATCTTACATTGTCGAATTGCTTATGTAAATATTGTTCAAAGAAAAATGTCCCAAACTAGCAGCTTATGAATTCAATACATAAAGCATGAGTGAAGGAGATGCCAGGAGCAAAAAATCGATGGTGATGGTGCTGGTTCAGTAATATAGAGTCACAATGCATCTGGTAATAGATAAATCATTAGATGTGTGCCTGGTAGCTACTGAAAAAAAAATGAATAAATATTGCCTAACATATATGTAAAAAAGTTTAGAAAAATTTGACTTTCTTCCAGCTGTATCTTTAGATGACTCCAAAGGAAAAGGAAAAGAATTGCAGAAAGTTGACCTTCTAAGTAATCTTATTCTTTAGACAAATTCAAATGGTACCATAACATCTGTAGACCTGTGATAGTTTTCTGCATGTACCATGTCTGAATGATTGTTTTATTCTAACCAGGTGATCCCAATATTAAATCATGCCTCATGATGACTAGATTGATAGTGATTTTTAAAAGTCCTCTATTAAAAGAAGGGCTTTCAAGAATGGCAGTCCTACGTCATACATTTTATGGAAGCCATTTTTTAAATTATCTAGGAAAGCTCATGCTTAATTTTATCTGGGTTTTTGTTTGTTTGTTTGTTTGTTTGTTTTCTGGATGTTTACACAGCATTTAGTTGGCACATCAAAGAACTGTAAGTAAATACTGTAAGCTTTAGACATACGAATGTATATAATCATATACTCTTGAGATTAAAAATAAACATAAAATCAGAAGAGATTAATTTTATGTGGAATGACACTTAGTTCTCAATATACTTTTATTTTTACAGTCATAGTGATGCCTGTTATTTTCTAGGAGTATCACTAAATTAGCAAATGTTATCCAGACACTACAATGTGATATTAATAATTTTCTAGTAGGATGATTCACACTCCATCATGTCCCATAGATCAGTGCAACATTCATGCTATTGGTTCCATATTTTTTGTGTCAGCAATGACATTTCTCTACCAAGACTATATTTGAACAGGAGGAGCCTTGAGTTAATTTCTCCCCATTCTTTTGGCTGTCACTGCAGTTTACTGTTAGCTTTCATGTGAAAAGAAACTTTAAGGTTTAAATAAAATTTAAAAAAAAAATAAAAATGACATTTCTAGTGCTGTCTGATCCAATAAACTCCAGCTCTAGCAGTTCTCATTAGATGTAATTCATAAATCTCAAGTACAATACTTTGCACTTTATAGGACAGTGAGGTCTTCTATAGAGATACTTTTAATCCATGAACTAAGACAGTCTTATTTTGCACATTGCTTAACAATTCAGTTTGCTCCAATCTATGATTTTTTAAATTATTTTTATGTTTTTTTAGCAGAGATTGGCTATATATTTATTTCAGTCACTTCTCAAACCATCATCATTAAATTCTGTTCAGGCACTTTGTGAATGTATTTTTATCACTTGGGCAATTAAGAGTTCAGGAAAAGGTCTTTTTTTATTCATGGCTGTGAAATTGTAATAGTCAGACTGAACCAGTCCTAAAATTTATGGTTAGCAGACAGCATGTGAAATCAAATTAGAGATGAAAGCATTAATCCAAAATGGTATTGGAAATAGATTCTTTAAGACCTAAAAAGCTTATTGTTTAAAATCTATTTCAGAACCTGATAGGTTTCAAGTCTAACTGCATGAATTACCCTCTACTTTCTTGGGTGCTTGCCTCATAAATTTATGAGTATTCCACCACTAAAATATATACATAAAAATGAGGAAACTTTAGCATTGCATAAACTCCAGTCTTTCTGTGTTTCAGTTCTTGTCTTGCTGATTGTCACCATGAGGCGACGGAAAAAAGAGCCCCTCATTTTTGATGAAGAGAGAGATATCAGGGAGAACATTGTCAGGTATGACGATGAGGGTGGTGGAGAAGAAGACACTGAGGCTTTTGACATGGCTGCCTTGAGAAACCTCAATATCATTCGAGACACCAAGACCAGAAGGGATGTGACACCTGAGATTCAGTTCTTGAGCAGACCAACTTTTAAAAGCATCCCAGATAATGTCATTTTTAGGGAATTTATTTGGGAAAGACTAAAAGAAGCTGATGTGGATCCGTGTGCGCCACCTTATGACTCCCTGCAGACATATGCGTTTGAGGGGAACGGCTCAGTGGCAGAGTCACTCAGTTCTTTAGATTCGATTAGCTCAAACTCTGACCAGAACTACGATTACCTCAGTGACTGGGGCCCTCGTTTTAAAAGGCTTGCGGATATGTATGGGACTGGACCAGATTGCTTATACTCATAGCCTTGGAACCTTTCTCTGAAAATGCACTGAAGAATACTAAAACAGAAAACTCAACCTTACAGACTGAAGAAAGTTGTAAATATTTCTCCATTTTTAACCTGTTAGGGTTTTTTTTGCCTTGATGGAACATATCTTCATTAGACTTATCCTAGGGACTGCACTGACCACCCAGGATATGAGCATTCGGTGGCATTTTTTATAAAATTAAATGCTCAGCCTCGTTCAAATAGATAGCAACACTCTAATACCTTCAGAGGCAGCTCACTTTCAAGAGTATGTTATGCACTGTGACCTCAATGAGTCAATGATACTCTGTAGATGCCTTTGCAAATATTGCTGTATCTAGAGCACACAGTCTTTGGTATGAGATAAATGTAAGAAGAAAAAAAAAAGGCAAATATAAACTAGAATTCAAGACAACATACAATAAGTAGTATTTATAGATGCAGGGTTTTTTTTTACTTTTTTTTTTTTTTTTTTTTTTTTTTTTTTAATGGTGTTGCATGCAGCTTGCTAGACCAAAAGCAGAAGGACAGACATGAAAACAAAACAAAAAAAAGCTCATCGGATCATTTTTCTGCTTCTTCCTGTTTGTTCAGAGCTATTTAAAGTCTCTGTAATTTTCTGTAAAAAAAAATACTAAAAAATACTGGTTTGTACTAAGAAATTTCACAATGTTTGTCATCCACTTAATGGAGTATTTTACAAACTACATTAAATGAGAAATAAGGAAGGGTATTCTTGTGGTTGAAAAGTTTTGTGATGCCCATGTAGGTATAGAAAAGATGTTGCTATCTATTTGCTATTTTTTATTATATCTTCTGATTTATACAGGAGAAATGATCCTTTTTTATTATTATTTGACATAAAATGTTATATTTATTTTGGAGTTCCTATCTCCATTAAATTCAGGTCCATTTTACTGCCTCATGGTATTAGACTTGTCAGAACATGCTGATTTTTCTCTAGTCTCAGATAAATGTAGGAAATGAAGCATGGAAATGGAGAAATTACACTAAAGCAATCTCGTCTGCCATTCATCTCTCAGAAAGGAAAGCAGCTACAAGGATATGCAGTTGTTCTTCTGAACCATTACAAAGTCTGAGACATTTAAATAAAATATTTGTACATTGAATTTCTGGAAAGAAGACTACAGAGATATCTGGGGGTGTCTTTAATGCAAGATTTAATTGTCAAGGTTAATCATGCTATATTCTTCAGACTGTAAACACCTTGCTCTTCTCCTTCTCCTCTTTTACTGCTGATGAATCAGAGTAAAAGACTATTTTCAGTTTCTTTATTATGTTAAGAAATGTAATGCTATTAACTCCAGAAGTCGTCTTTAGATCCTGCTGCTCATAAATATTTTTCCCCAAAGGTGTTAACTCACTACACATAATTTCTGCACTGGTTCAGGAGTGCCAAAACAGAAGGACAACTGCTTTGGTTGAAATATTGTATGATTTTGAAGTAGGATTTCTTAGAATAAGACAACTTTTTTATGATTCTGACAATATTTATACTTCGTCTTTCATGATTTATTACTAGGTAATAAGGAATATATTCAAGTAAAATAGTGTTTTTAAGTATTATTTCGGATTGTTTTGTTTTAGATAACCTGTCAGACAGTTCCTAATTAGACTGCTCCTGCAAACGTTTTTGCTTGTACCTAACATAAAATTACTTGACTTGCCTGCAGTTACTGAAAGGCATCTAGAATTGTTTGCAAGACTGTGTTTGTGAACAGAAGGTACTCCATAGATGATGATGCTTACTCTAAAAGTACTTCTTTCAGCAAGAAATATCCTTGTAATAAAATCATAATGTATGGGTGACACCAGGTTGGAAGATGGGAAATTATCATTAAGGCTTTGTAGTTTTTGCCCAGCATTATCAATTAATTATGTGAAAGTGGCCTTCAGCTTCATCAGAGAAAACAAAATTAATCTAATCATCTGCAACGTATTTAATTTGAGTTACATTTTGGTAGACAATCATAAGTTCATAAGTCAGTAGATTTGCTTCTAGTTGTATTATATACATATAAATAGTTATATATATATATATGAAAGATTTTGTAATGGAACTGAAAGATACCACCCTTGACTTTTAGTCAAAAGTGTAAGATTTTCAATAAAAAATTTAAAATAAATAAAAAAGAAAATTAACCACGTGTATGCCATTTAATGAGATCGAGATATGCTGCAGGAGCTAAACAGGTATTAAATCAGCAAGATGCTGAGAGAACAGTTTTTGTTAATCACCTTGTTTCTGGAAAGATGATTAATGCATCTGGTTTAAGATGTAAAAAATGTTGATTTTAGCACATAAAACTCACAGGAGATTTAAACATGATTTAGAGTAAACACCACAATTCTCTTGCTTTTCTGCCTTCTATGCCTGTGAAAACCCAAGAAGCTCCCCTGTTATGACACTGTTAGAGGTTGGCTTTTCTGCTGAGTTTTCTATGGAAAGAAATACGTTTTGCTCTAATACCATAAAAACTCTCACATGTATTTGTTTTCTGCCTCACATGTAAAAAATAATCAAGTAATTTTATTGTTTTATTATATATGCTTACCTATTGATTATATTATTGCAGTAAGAAAGTTTGAAACCCCTTATGTTTGGTGACAGATGTTAGTATAGCAGATACACATGGTCTACAGAATACACATACTTTGTAATGCTCTTCATGAGTTTCCATGGCTATAGATTTTCACAGTTTATAATCTCATTCAAATTCTTTCTTTGAGTGTTATTTATATTACATAGCCTGATGTCATAAAGTATATTCTACTGAATAAATAGTGTAAAATATATAAAATATTTTCTCTATGCTGGAAAGGTTATAAAATTATTTGAGCAAATTAATTAGAAAGGCCTTAAAAAAAGACTTCCCATTTTATTTATTTATTTGACTTTCTGAAAAGCTCCAGAATCAAACATTGCAACCACTCCCATTTAATAGTGAAATAACAACAGCTCTTACTTTCCACCATATGACAACTGAATAGGCTTATTTTAAATTGAGAATTCCAAGTGCCTTGAAAAGTGTATAGTTTGAAGAGTGCTAGTAAAAAAAATCACTTACAGCAAAGATTTAAAGTAAGACTCCTTCCTCTGCTTTGATCGGTGTAAAATGTACTAAATTCAACAGAGTTGAACAGTAGGAATTATGAATTACATTTCTTATTCAAAAGAATAAACTTAGTGTACTTATTAAATTATAACACCACTAGGATATAGTACAGGCCTTCCTAAGCATACTAATTCTGATGTTAGACTTCATACGATCACTGCAGGACTCATGAAATTGGATACTCCCAGCTGAAACCTCTATTCCCTAAAATAAGAGGGAAAAAAAAAAAAAAAAGGCTTTCTTTTTACTTGTTTTCTTTGTTATGTTGAAATGGGAATTCCCTTTTAAAGTTAAGGTCTTTTCTCAGTTAATTTAAACTATTTACCCTCCCGGTGCTGGCACTCATAAAAAAAATATTTCCTGTCTTTTTTTTCTTTTTAGAGATTTTGGATGAAAGCATGTTATAAAATTTAAAATGGCAGCATCTTATTTTTATGGACAAATAATCCTGTAGAATATACAAAAAAAATTAGTAGTAGTTAGTCATTCTGAAACAGAAATAAATGTACTATAAAGCATAAAATTACACTGACTATTAAGATTATTAGAGAGATGAAAGGTGAACACAATTAATTATATCAAATCTAGTAATAAATTTAGTAATAAATTATTTATTGCAGCCTGTCATGTGGCAGATACTATGTTTCTATATGTAGAATTTTAGAATCTGTGTAGAGAAATATTGCTTTGAGACAACATTATATTCAATTCATTAGTGACAGTTATATGGGGTCAAGTATATTTTTATTGGTCTGTGATCCTAAAAGTGAATTGTTTAAGATACAAATGGCATTTTGTTTATTTGACAGAATTAGGAAAGTTTACAATAATAATCAGAGACCTACAAGGTACAGTCTTAGCTATGAAATCTCTAAGTTTCCCAGATGGATATCTAAGATTTCCAGATGCATCCTCAGATATTGTTACACCCCAGGACCATTTCTTCCTAACCAAGAATTCTTCTCTGCTCAATAGCAATGCAGCTGAAAGCATGTTGTATTACTTACTAATTTTTCATTTATTTATTTATTTATTTATTAATGGCTATGTACTTGTAGTTTTGTTCTTTGAACTAGGAGGTTAATGACAGAAAACAACAGGAATTATTTATTTCCTAAATTAAGGAAATGGAAAAAAAAAAAAGATATCCACGCATGGATGCTATACTTCGCTTTATGATTATAGTTTATAATTTCTGACAAAATAAGAGAAGTTACCAAAGTATTATATGACACACAATTGTCTTGGGATATTTATAAATCTAATTAAACACACTGAAAGCAGAAAACAGTGTAGGAATTTACAGAAAATAATTTCTAGTTTGATGCTACAGTGGTGAATCATACGCATACTTCTCTTATCTCATATGTGAACACATATTTCCTAAAATTATATGTATTATTATATGCATATATGCAACATTCCATCCACACACTAGTTATGTTAAAATACCTTATTTACTGTCATGGTTTAATTCAAGATCAGCAATTAAACCAATGACAACAATGCTCTTGATGCCCTCCCCGTTCCTCCCAGGTAGGGAAAAGAGAGAGAGAATAAGATGTTTTTGGATTGAAAACTAAACCAGACAGCATCAATTAAATACTAATAACAAAAAATATGTACAATGATATATAAATATGTACAAGAATGTGCAAAACCCCTACTGCCTTCCCCCCACCCCAGCAACTCCCATGGCACTCTCCTGAGCTGTGAGCGGTCCCAAGAAGTCCTGAACTGCTTCTGGAGATAGTAACAAAGCAAACAGGAGCTGAGGACAGAGATATGAGGGTCAGAAATGCACAGGCCTAGGGTTCAAAGGAGATGGAGAAATGGAGTCCTCCCTGGATGTTGGCCATGGAATGAAGAAAAAGAAAGAAGGAGGTCTTGACTTTCATGATCCCTGAATTTATACTGAATGC